TCATTTGCCAAGACGGCGAGGGACGTTGCTAAAACATCAATTACTGGCTTGTCATAACTAGATTATTTTCAGGTCGCCGGCATACAGCTAGAACACTTATGGTGTTGGCTTTCAACAACACTTTCATACTTGAAAAGTGATCAGGCTAAATACACACATGCTAGCATTACCCGTATCAAATTTGAAGCATGGGTAACGTAGACGTTATGCCTTTTTTTGCGGTATCATGCCTGCGGAAGGTTTCAAATTGCCCTATATTGTGCAGTTTTAGAAACGGGTAAAGTGACATACCAATACCAATTATGCCCCCTTCGTTCTGCATAATATAAGAAATGAAAGTGTTCAATTGATTCAGAATAATATTTATTCATCATGATACGCAGAGGTATCTCAAAAGTATACCACAAAGGTTACTTTTTCTCATGCTCTTAGGAATTATTTTCCTTATTTGTGAAAGTAAGCATTTTTGTTTTTAACCGGGTGAATTGTCTTAGTTGTTTTAGCATCGGATAGATAAACACATGATGAAGAATCAGCTTGGACTTGCGCATGCTTTTCTCCAGAAATTAATTTTCACTCATTGTGGACATTTATACAAAGCTACGCTTTATCTCTAGATGGTAACATGTATGAGACTCTTCATGTTCGGTCACAATTGCTTCACAAGAATCCAAACTAGACAGATTACGCACACAGTATCTTTAGAGAATCCAGGTTCGATCATCCGACGAAACATTTTCCATTAGTCGTAAAGGCTAAATAGGGGTGAAAATATATAGTAATGACACCATTAATTTATTTTGACCCAGGAGCCTATAAGATTCAACCATACAAAGGCTATATTTATAGTGGGTGTGGGTTAGTTTGCTATTTTCTTGGATGACCTAGTGACAACTCTAGCCTCCTTCACGTTTCGGTACACACACATGAAACTCTCTGCATTGGTGCCCCTGACACGCTCCAGCAATGACCTTGAATATGAATTATGTATAGGAAATAATAAAGACAAATCTTTAAAACAATGACAAGGAAACTTTTGGAGTGAATCCTTTAAATCATTCTAATTTATGGCAATGGTTATGGCAGATAATCGAGACTGATACTTATGCCTCGAGGGAAGCATGTGTAATAATGTAAACGGACTACATTGGGCGTCATGTTTGCCTTAATATACTTAGTCCGCTTTAATATTCACTCTTAACTGGGACCGCCTCCGTGGTTTAGTGGTAGAGCGCCCGCCCGGAGAGAGGAAGGTCTGGGGTTCGATCCACGGCCAAAAGACGTTAAATCCCATCATCTCACCATCTTTACTGGGCTATCGGTCACATACCGGTACTTTTCCACTGATGAATCGAGATACTGTCTAGACTTCGCATATCGCCGTGCCCGAGTGTGGCTCAGACAAGGAGAAAGAATTCAGGATTCCAACGTAGCCGAACATGACTGCTGTGGGGGTGGCTAAATCATGATTTGGGGTGGGATCAGTAGAGCTTGAAGACCATATCACTATGTCCTCCAGCGGGACACGATGACAGGTGTGCGCTACAGGAATGACATTCTGGGTGTGTACATACGTACTTGAGACTGTAAGCAGGTTCAATCGGACCGGACTTGACCCTCATGGACGATAACGCATGAACGCATGTCGTTGATGCCTACGTAGACCAGGAGAACAGTGTCTGCATGGATTGGCCAGCCCGGCCACCATACCTGAACCCTATCAAACACACTTGGAACGAGCTGCCCTCTCATGACACCCTGTCCTACCGGCAACTCTGCAGGAACTCGGCAGTGCTCTTACTGAAGAGGGGAACAATCTTCCCTTGGCTACCATCCAGACTGTTATTGGGAGCATGAGACGACGGAATTTTGTAAATTAAACGCAATATTGTCTTCACGCAATATCACCTGTGACAATTTCAACAGATGCACTGAATTTGACGTATTACCTTTTAAAGAGGTGACTCTTAGCAAACTTTGAGGAGTATACTATTATGGCTGATCATATTGACAACCTTCTTTTTTGAAGTAGCAATGTAAAGCACTTATCTGCAATTGCTTCAATATTGCGCATTAAATTGCTCATTAAAAAATCCATTTTTTTGCTCCAATACAGTAAGATGCATTTAGTCACTGTCACTAACTGTACGCGTTTTGTGGTTAAAGTGACTGTCTCGTTTGAATTAGCATATCATCATACTAATGCACACCTCGGGTATTGACAGCAATTGTGTATCCATGAGTATTCTGATTTAAAATGTCAAATTCTAAGGTCAACATGACTGAGTCCACAGTGTGTGGTGTCTTTTGTGAGCGGATGCATTTTTTGTTTCTTTGTATTACTATAGTCTATAGAACTTAACCAAGCAAAGCCAGTGCCAGTAATGCTAGTTGTATGTGCATCTGTGGTATTGTTTCGACTGTTAATTATTAATTCATAACTTGACCTTCTAAGTGTCATTGACCTTTAAATTGACCTTTACGGCGGTTTAAACAATCACTGATATTTGCAAACGGCGAAATGTATGTGTTGTATAGAGCTATTATTAATTAATTTAACAAAGGGCACTTATTGACAAAATGGCGCTTGGGATAACACATTTCCATTTTGTAATGTGGAATACGAACACTGCCATCTCATCATAACACGTATCGCCACATTTTGAGATAACAAATGGATTTGGTGATAATACTGATATATAACTGGAAAACGAAAATAGGGCAAAATTCACCTGTTTGGGCTAATAACTCGGTCTGTGCGAAGCTATAGGTTTTTACAAAATATGATTCACGTCGACTCTGTGTAAATAGTCACAAAAATGAGAGAAATAGGATATAGTTCACAAACTACAAAAATATAAAACACACATCAAGCTTGCTTTGTTCTACCATGGGGAGGGGTATGTCGGCAGTTTGAGGTTCCACTCTGGTATGAAAGCAGATCTATTGGTATGTTATGCCGCGAGAGTTATAGTTCACCCTCTTCCATTTCAGACCTTATCATCATTAATAACGAGGTCATGTCAATATTTCAGTGATGCTATATCAGTGTATGGTGTGCATCCTGTCAGAAGGTATCACGTACCACAACCATATTTCCGTTTAACGTTTGGAAAAGAACTTCTCGTCTTTCAACATTCTTACCATGTTCAACCATTAATATTTGATTATTTAACAACTTACTCAATGTGATGAAAAATCTGATTTCCGTTTTCAAACATAATTTAATCACTCGAAATCATATTGTAACTCAGTGTTGATATGTAATAATCAACGATGACATGTATGGATGTAGTTTGGTCACAATATTACGAATTGGTTTATATAAATGGATATGTAAGACACATATGTCATTACCTGTATCGTTATCCCTTTCTAAGTGTTGTTATTGCTGTGAGTGTGTCGACGAAACTGGATGTGTGATTGCGTATCATCGTATCCCGACGTCGTGGGACATTTTAATGTGGAATTATGTGGAATACCAATCCCAGTAAAGAGCGGGGTTCAATTCTGTCAAAACGTTTGGTTGTACAGCACGAACCCCAATGACACACTTCAGGAAAAAACTTCATTTCTCTTTGCTGATCTGTTTCGAAATTTCTGCTCGGATTAACAAATCACAACAAGGAAATTGAGCCAAAAAGTTTAACTTAATGCTTCAGGTACATCGATTATCATATGGCGTTCAATAACGGCCAAATTATTCCACTCATTTAAAAGAGTGAACTCGAAATAAAAGAAATTAGTGAACCTCCCCATCCGGTTACGCATTTAGATCTGTATAAATTCAGAGTGACAAAAAAGCTATCCACAAGACTGTATGACAATGGGGATGGCTTCGAGTTTCCATAAGTCAGCTTTTCCTCTAAGTCGATCAATATTCCATCAGCTCTAGCCTTTGGTGTCTACATTTTACTTTTCAGTTGCCACCGAGATTGCTCTTTGTTTGAGGTTTACAACTTATACGGCCTCAGGAAAGCTTTTTATTGTAGACATATGGAGAATATGTCCGAAATTATGTCCGACGCAATTTCATATTTTAATTTGTACCATACGCTGTCCATACGTTTTTCAGGTGAACAGTTGACTTGCCGTCGCGTGTGTTTGTCACGGGTGTCACCGGTGGGGCAGGACACGCTCTCCTTTCTGATATCATCCCTATTTGATAGTGATTCATAAACACATGCTATGATATAAGATGTCTCATGATTATTGAAATGGTTTCGTCGCCTCTCTATTCATAATATGCACAACTGGTTTGTCTGGTCCAGACTCGATTATTTACAGGCCGCCGTATAAATGATAGATAGAATAGAGTCAAACAACAAACAAGCATACCATCAATCTAGATATGCATATCACACTGTAACCTGGATACACCATCTTCCCACTCAATCTACTGTAACCCCGAGTCTGTTGTTTAAAGTCATTATGTATGCATAAACATATATATATATATACGACACATTAGCTTATGTTCATAGTGCCACTCGCCTTTTCTGCCAGTGGGATAGGCCCCAAATGTACCTTGGAAATACTACGGATGTAGTAGTTTGATCTTGCGGGCGCTATTCGTGAATATATATGACATAACGTAGTGATCACGTTTCTCATTGTATGGTGTAATACATAAAACTCAAAGGAATCATCACTGTGGCGCAATTACATGTTTATTGTCAGAAGGGTAATGAATCACAAATCAGCCTTCCTCATGAATATAGTGAAGCCATAATGCATCACTAAAACATTTACTTACACAGAAAACACGTGTAGTAAACTTTGTAATTGTCCATATGTACGTTGCAAACCTTCCATGGCGTCATGACGAATGGACGCCAAACCGTTGTGTGAGTACTACAAGGGCGATTCAAGGCAATCAAAACAACACACGGCAGCCAATCAGTGTCAAGTGGAGATTCTCAGGGTGACGTACCGAAAATAATATATCGATGCCATCATATGGAAAAAAATGTTTCTTGTTTCTTCATTCCGACGCAACAAACACCTTTCTAGGAAATTAATACTGAGTGTTCTTCCGACACATTTTTACATTGCATATAATAATCATAAATGTGACATGAAATGGCAGATTTCATGCTGTTGAAGATACTGTCCCCAGTCCCGTCTGTTGAGTCTCTGTTCCCGTCTGTTGTGTCTCTGCTCCCGTCTGTTGTGTCTCTGTTCCCGTCTGTTGAGTCTCTTTTCCCGTCTGTTGTGTCTCTTTTCCCGTCTGTTGTGTCTCTGATCCTGTCTGTTGTGACTCTGTTCCCGTCTTTTGTGTCACTGCTCCCGTTTGTTGTGCCTCTGCTCCCGTCTTTTGTGTCTCTGTTACCGTCTGTTGTGCCTCTGCTCCCGTCTTTTGTGTCTCTGTTACCGTCTGTTGTGCCTCTGCTTCCGTCTGTTGTGTCTCTGTTCCCGTCTGTTGTGCCTCTGCTCCCGTCTGTTGTGTCTCTGTTCCCGTCTGTTGTGCCTCTGCTCCCGTCTGTTGTGTCTCTGTTCCCGTCTGTTGTGTCTCTGTTCCCGTCTGTTCTGTCTCTGTTCCCGTCTTTTGTGTCTCTGTTACCGTCTGTTGTGCCTCTGCTCCCGTCTGTTGTGTCTCTGTTCCCGTCTTTTGTGCCTCTGTCCCCGTCTGTTGTGCCTCTGTTCCCGTCTGTTCTGTCTCTGTTGCCGTTTTTTGTGTCTCTGTTCCCGTCTTTTGTGTCTCTGTCCCCGTCTGTTGTGCCTCTGTTCCCGTCTGTTCTGTCTCTGTTGCCGTTTTTTGTGTCTCTGTTCCCGTCTTTTGTGTCTCTGTTCCCGTCTGTTGTGTCTCTGTTCCCGTCTTTTGTGTCTCTGTTCCCGTCTTTTGTGTCTCTGTTCCCGTCTTTTGTGTCTCTGTTCCCGTCTGTTGTGCCTCTGCTCCCGTCTGTTGTGTCTCTGTTCCCGTCTGTTCTGTCTCTGTTCCCGTCTTTTGTGTCTCTGTTCTCGTCTTTTGTGTCTCTGTTCCCGTCTGTTGTGCCTCTGCTCCCGTCTGTTGTGTCTCTGTTCCCGTCTGTTCTGTCTCTGTTCCCGTCTTTTGTGTCTCTGTTCCCGTCTTTTGTGTCTCTGTCCCCGTCTGTTGTGCCTCTGTTCCCGTCTGTTCTGTCTCTGTTCCCGTCTGTTGTGTCTCTGTTCCCGTCTGTTGTGTCTCTGTCCCCGTCTGTTGTGCCTCTGTTCCCGTCTGTTCTGTCTCTGTTGCCGTCTGTTCTGTCTCTGTTCCCGTCTTTTGTGTCTCTGTTCCCGTCTGTTGTGTCTCTGTTCCCGTCTGTTGTGTCTCTGTCCCCGTCTTTTGTGTCTCTGTCCCCGTCTGTTGTGCCTCTGTTCCCGTCTGTTCTGTCTCTGTTCCCGTCTTTTGTGTCTCTGTTCCCGTCTTTTGTGTCTCTGTCCCCGTCTGTTGTGCCTCTGTTCCCGTCTGTTCTGTCTCTGTTCCCGTCTGTTGTGTCTCTGTTCCCGTCTGTTGTGTCTCTGTCCCTGTGGATGTCTCTGTTCCCGTCTTTTGTGTCTCTGTCCCCGTCTGTTGTGTCTCTGTTCCCGTCTGTTGTGTCTCTGTCCCTGTGGATGTGTCTGTTCCTGTTTGTGACGTCTCTGTTTCCGTTTGTGGGGTTCTGACGCCCTCTGAGGGTTTAGCATCGCCTTTCTGTTCCAGGTAGTCGTTAGTTACACCTGTAAAAAATATATAAAATGTTCGTGTTCATATATGTACTTTCATATAACTAACCGATGAAGTTTATGACACAAGGTGCAATCTGTATATTTACATTCTCAGATTGTCGTACCACCATGCTCTGTATATTGGTATTATTTAGTTATAGGCTCTTTGTGTTTATTTCCAACTAGTTAACCCAGCAGAGTTGCTTCACTCTGAGCTGTCTAACTCTCAGTTGTTAATTAGTCGCAGCCGATTATCTTGTCTGAACTTTATTTACATATATATGTATATGTATATATATGCCAAGCATGCATGCAAGTGTATACAGATTTACTAGGGTGCAATATATGTGCAATTCAAAAGGAGGGAGAGTTACTTGATAGGTTTAAACAATGATATGATGATTTTACAGAATTTGGACAGTTTTCACAATGTTCCTAGTCGTGTATTATTGAAAAGTAAATTCATTTACCGCATTTTGGGTTTGATGTAGTAGAATCTGTGTAAAAATGTTTTCTTTCGTTTTCTAAAGATGGACAAATAAGCAAATAATGGAATTCATCACCTAAGTCAGATAATTTGCAAAGTTGGCATTTCCTTTCGGTTGAAGGTATTTTTCTACATCTCCCAGTTTCAACAGGCAGATTATGATTACAAGTTTTCAACTTAAGTAGGACTTGCCAAGCATTTTCCTGCAGTACGTTTAAAAAGTATTCAAAATTTAGGCAATCATTATTTATGATACTATACATTGTGCCTTATCCTTTGCACTGTTCCAACACTGTATGTTAATGTCATTGAATTTTCATGGACTAAATGTTTTAGGTACCTGGGATTTTTGAAACTTTATGAAAACCAATTGAGCTAAGTCCAAGTTCATCAAAAGTTCGTTTGATATATGTAATCCATTTATGTTGACATTTTCCAAATAGGTCGTCATTAAATAACAGCTTGTTTTCAAGAAAGGATAATTTAGACGATTTCCCGGAAAGTCCCAAACTTATCATTTTCATTTTGGCGATGTTTGGTAGATGGAGTCTTTCAAGTTCCCCAGGAAATGAACCATGAAATTTGGAGTGCGTTTTCTTAATGATAAAAGATACTGTTATACGGCTGCTTGACTAATCAGCTGATATATTTGTTCAGGCGTTATTAATCAGTGATCATTGTCAGTGTAAATTGTTTTGTATCCTTTATATTGTCTATAGATACAATTAGCTGATAGTAATAAAACTATTACTATGTTTTCAATTATTACTTTATTCTTGTTTAATGGCATGCTGGTTTCAGGAGCATAGCTCCTTGACACCAAGAAAAGTCGTTAAGTAACTTGAAATATCACTAACTAGAATGTACCAACATCACCTGAAAATATTTGACATGTATTATGTATTTTGATGTGATGTGTACGTCAAAAGTCAAAATTGCACATATATAGATAGAAATTGTAAATCCAATATGTATATGATGCTAAATGATAGCGGGTTGTTTGGCATTCAGTTTCACGCAGTTAATTCGGCTTCCTACATAATACCCAAGGAGCTGTGAAGTAGTGTTATTTCATGCTTACAATGTACCGCCAGACCCTGACGCATAAAGTTGTACAAGGCAGTCACTTTGGAAAACAACATAGTGGAAGCACTTGGTACAAAAAAACAAATAGAAACACTTATGATATGTCTATTTTTGAGGCGCCAAATTCCGTCCACCAAGTGGTTGATCATAGCTACATGATGGAAAATATAAATTCAATATACATATATCGATTCTGTGGAGTAATTGAGAGTTCACTGATTGTACAAATGGTTGGAAAATGTGTGTAGTCCAGATTTGAAAGAAAACAGAGAAGGTGAAGTATTGAGATCCTGTGGCAATTTCTTCCAAAGAACTGCTGCAACATTAAGGATTAGAGTCCAAGCTATCTTTGGACTCTTTGGTCCGGTCAGTAGGTGGTCGTTGGCTGACCGTAACTGTCTTTCTGGTGCATAAGATGTGATGAGATCGGCAAGGTAGGATGGGACCAAGGCGTTCATATATCTGTAGGTGATGGTCCAGATCTTGTATTGAATCCTTGCTTTGATGTAATGACATCATGACTGATGCCGTCTTGCCTCATCTGCTAACCAAACGCGTTGCTGACTTCTGGATTCTCTGGAGATTTGCCCAGCCCAGCCCATTACAATAATCCAACCTGGAAAGGATCAGACACTTGACCAGATGATATGCAGCTTCTTTTGTGAGGTGTGTGCGGATGGATCCGATGTTCCATTAAACAAACAGTCAGTAAGATCAGTGGTGATATACGTTAATTCATGTAGCAATAGCGTATATATTTACGGTTGTATGCTGTATCGCATACAACATGTACAATATAATTAATCTCACTGTCAACTGACTGAAATATACAAAAGGCTTGTACATTACAGTTTATAATCACGCGGTGTCGTGTGTTAGTCCAAAATGGATCTCTTGGTACATGGGATTGAGGTGAAGTAAGTTTGATGACTGTGTGAATACGAGAACGATACTTCCTTAATTTGGTGATGAACAGAACGCCCTGTTTGCATGGCATCAGAAACCCCTGTCAGGTGGGTCATCTTCAACACTGCAAAATGATGGGGGAGAAAATGTGTACACCCCTGGTGGCGGCTTTGCTGACACATTCATCATAGGCTGGTGGTGGTGTATGTTCAACTGACGGCGGCGTAGGTCGGGCTGGTTCAAATGGCGGACGTGCGACAGGTGTTCCCAAAGCTAAACGAGATGGCCGCGGGGTAGGTCGGGCTGGTTCGGGTGGCGGAAGTACGACAGGTTCTCCCAAAGCTAAACAAGATAAGTGTTTGTGTTGTCGACAAGTAATAATATTGCAATCGTATTTAAAAATACGATGAGCGATCACACACACACACACACACACACACACACACACACACACACACACACACACACACACACACACACACACGTGCATGCACGTCGCTATATAAGTGCAATAATCTTGGACGCGACGTTAACCCTATTTCACCTTATTAAATATAAAGTTCAAGTGTTGGTGCATAAGTAGAGAAAGGGGAAAAGTAGATAGGTTTGTCTATGAATTAAGTTGATGGGGGTTTGCCTCCTGTTGTTAAAAATAAACTTAAATCCAAATTCACTCTTTGTGTGTCACATTCAATATGTGGCTAACTCAGCTCATTTCGATAACGAGTATTCACCCCCCAGGAAGTAAGTTTCTCGCCGCTGATTTCAGTTTAGCCATCATCCAACATGTTTGTATACATTCTTTTGCCAGGTAGTGTACATACATTATGGTGGCTCATATCTCAGGGTGATATGACGATAGCCCTTATCAGCTAACATGCATCCCTCGATACGCACGCACGCTTGCGCGCACGCACACACGCCGTTGCCCTGATGCGTTTGGGCGATCGGTTTTATTGTCATCTGCTTTATTTTTTATCATCAAATCTCATTTTTCCGGACAAGGTGATGTTAAATTTAGAAATTTGACAAAAATTACCCAGATATTTAAATGACAACTTTTCATGCAATGTTACTTGGGGTGACGTTTCTTTGGCGGTTCAGTAAACATTTTGGCCCGGAGCCTTGAGCAAAACAAAACAGAATTAATTTGGTTTTGTCATGAGCTGATAATTCCATTAGACCATACCTGACATCACTTTAGGTTGGTTGGCTTGCAAGGAACTGCCCTGCGATCCCTGAGATGATCTTCGCCAGTACAAGCAGCAGGCGAAGACGAGGAACCCCACCATGAAGCCAACGAGGAAACACCCGCCAATGATGGTGCCAACTATTGTTTGGTAACTGGCGTGAACAGAAACCGACGTATTAAGTTTTGGGTTGGTTTTAAACAAAATGTAAACTCAAACAAAAAAGGTTAACATATATATTATAAATATATGGTTGTAACCAGCCATTGGTTAAAGCTTCTGAGGCACAAAGACCATTTGAGTTTTGGATCTTATATTTCGTTAAGAAATCTCTTTATCATTGTCATGAAATATTAATTTCTTGAAAGTGTGACATATCTTTATGGCAGAAATGAGGTGAGGTGCTATATATATCGCGTGTGTGTCTCTCACACAGATACCATGCCGCAGTTCAACACGAATAGCCCACTATGACATAATATACGGACTCCGACAGGACCACTCCTTGTTTTATCCACTAAATGCCGAGCACCAGGCATGGTAACAACAAGTACTGTGTTTTGGTATGTCGCGGCCGGAGATCGAACCACGGACCTTCCGTTCTGTCACAGAAATGAGAGAATGGGTGGTGTTTCTGCTGTAATCAACAATATGTCATATATATTGCGCGACTGATTAATCGACTACGGGCGAAGAAAACCAATGACTGATAGCGTGAGTGATAGCCAAGTGATAGCGTGATAGCCAAGTGTTCACGGTGACACATAATCAGCCAAGTCACAGACCAGCCGATCCCCATTTTGGCCTGGCGTTATGATCAGCATGAGGTACTGAGGTACAACAACAGACAATCTGCTTAAACCCACCTTGAGCAGCAATATCTGGAGGAACCATTGTCGCAGCATATATCACTGCAATTAAGAGTTGTCGAATTCCGTGCATCCGTATAACATGTTTCAAACGCGTGTGCTAAAAAACAAATAAAAAATGCATTTCATCATCATGATACGAGTAATAACTTTATTAATAATAACAATACTAAGATACATCATAATGCATATGAATAATAAACGCCATAACCAACCAACCAAATAAATTCTGTTCACATAATGTTATGCTGAATGCAACAAGAGTTGATCATTTCAAGTAAGAGTGGTCGAATTCCGTGCCTCCGTATAACACATTTCAAACGCGTATGCTAAAATGAGTGAGTGAGTGAGTGAGTGAGTGAGTATGGTTTTACGCCGCTTTTAGCAATATTCCAGCAATATCACGGCGGGGGAGAACGAAAATGGGCTTCACACATTGTACCCATGGCGGCAATCGAACCCGGGCCTTCGGCGTGATAAGCGAACGCTTTAACCCCTAGGCTACCCGACCGCCCCGCGTATGCTAAAAAACCCTAATAATAATACAATGCATTATCATGATGACTTGTCGTGAATGACACGTCAAAGCTTTTGTACTCACAATGACTCCCCACAGCGAGCAGAAATACTCCTGTTGTTAAATCATTCATGGTCACCAGCACAGGAAAATACATCTAATACACCTGCACCACGGGAGCACCCCTTGTGTCAAAATGAAATGCAGCAAAGAGACTCCACAATATTGACGACAGCTGCGATGATTGATTTGAATACATTCATCTTCACAGCAACTGCTATTGCTTCAGCTGATACTAAAATAGGCTGCGGCCGCACGAACAGGCTTAATTTCGGTTACTGAATGTGTATACATTCAATGAATTAATATAATGAGATAACTATTTCATATGTACTCTTGGATCACAATAGCATTAGCAAGGTCACAGTTAGAAAGGATGAGTAGGTATTGCATAAGGCCGCAATATTCAAGCTATATCACGAGGACCTGCAAACAATCGAATCGGAGCCTGACATATCACTAGTTAATAGCTTAGTAACGGCCCGTGCCGTCCGTTTACAATAGCATACATTCAACCAAGTCTCAATTTGGTCTCTGCAAAGTAGTAGTTAGATTTAATTCCTTTCAAAGGCATCTAGCTTCTCTGGAAGAGAGTTTATATATTGGTTTCTTCAACATTTTATTACATAAAATGCCTTTATAGTTACATGTACTGCAAGTATTCAAGTACAGACAGGCCGAATGTCAATGTCAATGTCCTCCCCAATAGAGTATGCGCCATGATGGTACTGACACGTTGGTGGCTTGTAAGATGATATTTTCCACCTGAGAAATGCAAGCATAAACAGTACAACTGCCTCTGTTGTGATTATAGAACCAATTTGCGATATGTTTGTATTATGTTTGCGTTATTGTATGTGTAAGATATTATTGTCACCATCGATTGCACTGGCTTGTATACTCACTAACAGGTTAATGTGTTATCGATTCAACTTTAACGTAAACATGCAGATGCGGCGCGTAAGTTCAGTGTATTCAGGCGTTGTGTTATGTAAGTAATAATGTTTCTAATGTACACATGTTACACAGGTGAATGATCGTTGTTATATTAATGGAAACATTATAGATCAGTCGGCGAGGAAAGTGCTTTAATAAATGTGCAGAATACCGCCTGGTACTTTGATGTATGTCGACTGGTCATCGAACTGCAGCAAAGATCGTTAGGTTCTGCAGTTTCCAAGATGACTGCTAGTAGTTGTTGTTAGTCTGACACTCGTGTTTGTGTTTTGTTTAAGAACAGGTCCCCAGGAACCTATTCGCGTCGAACAAGGCACCGAAATGGTTCGGGTGTCCAGGGCGGTGACGATTGCTGAGTGCGGCGTTAAACAAAAACACACCTTACGCTGAGTGAGTGAGCGAGTGAGTATAGTTTTACGCCGCTTTTAGCATTATTCCAGCAATATCACGGCGGGGGACACCAGAAATGGGCTTCACACATTGTACCCATGTCGGGAATCGAACCCGGGTCTTCGGCGTGACGAGCGAACGCCTTTACCACTAGGCTACCCGACCGCCCCCACCTTACGCTGAAGCTTCCAACACATGATAAACATGTCATAATGGCAATATGCTATTTGTTTGACTGACTTGTAGCGTCAAATGTTCTGCTGTCTGTTGTAGCAGGGCGCAGAGTCATCTAACCAATGACATCCTTTCCTTGTATTAACCTCTGGTTCGTGGTTCGAATCCCACCACTGGACTGATTAATTCTGTAGTCGCAACATTATCCCTACGTGTCACAAGGTCGTAAAACCAGTCTAGTCACGGTCTAGTGCCGCACCGCTTCCCCTTCTCTTAATTGTCCGGCGTCGTCCGGTGTCTTTACGTTCATTGTTGGAGAATTCGTGACCCCTAAATTTTATTCTCTGTCTGTTAAATCGCTTACTTTATCATGTATTGATACGATAAATGTTATCTCGCGTATGTACAGAAACTTATTCATGGATTGAAAATGTTCTTTTAACTTTGATTTTCACGCTGTAGCGGGGTCATCCAGTACTGGTATATTTTTTCATGTATTTATGGTTATTTTTGCCACTTCAATAATTGTACATATCTATTTGTGGTAGCTTATGTTCATCGCTTATTTTGTTACTTACGTCTTCTGGGGCGGTCGGGTAGCCTAGTGGTTAAAGCGTTCGCTCGTCACACCGAAGACCCGGGTTCGATTCCCGACATGGGTACAATGTGTGAAGCCCATTTCTGATGTCCCCCGCCGTAATATTGCTGGAATATTGCTAAAAGCGGCGTAAAACCATACTCAGTCACTCACTTACGTCTTCCGTATTGGTTCAGTACTCAGTTTGCTATTCGGGTTTTCCCTTTAAAAGGAAACACAATTTGGTTACCTAACCAGGTTTTTGCAGTCCCACTGCTGACCAGGACAGGTTGTTCTCTACGACGTCCGCGCACACGTATATAACCCCTGGTTACTGCTACTGGTTTGGTCAGGTCGAACCTTAGGTTTCGTTAGTAAGTGGTTATGGGACAGTTTTCTCCCTGGTACTGACTTATACTGGTGGTATTAAGCTAAAACTTATTGGCTAGACTTTTTTTCAAGTAATCCGTGGATAACAAAATTTCCCGTTAGGTCAGGTACCTATTTGCTATTGGGAGTCGAGTACCCTTTTTAATGATTGCGAGTCTAGATACTCCTTAGCTCGTGTACCTTGTATTTTGGGAAATGTAGAATGTCCTTGCCCAGTCAAAAAGACTGAGTGTTTGGTCCATAAGACTAGTTTGATACTCTGGCGTTTTTCGTCTATTTTATTGTCCAAGAAATTTATATTTTAGTTATAGGCTCTTTGTGTTTATTTCCCACTAGTTAACCCAGCAGAGGTTATTCACTCTGAGCTGCCTAACTCTCGGTTGTTAATTAGTCGCAGCCGATTATCTTGTCTGAACTGAACTTTATTTACATATATATGTATAATTATGTATATATATGCCAAGCATGCATGCAAGTTTATACAGATTTACTAGGGTTCAATTCAAAAGGAGGGAGAGTTACTTGATACGTTTAAACAATGACATGATGATTTTACAGAATTTGGACAGTTCCTAGTCGTGTATTATTGAAAAGTAAATTTATTTTACGCATATTGGGTTTGATGTAGTAGAATCTGTGTTAAAATGTTTTCTTTCATTTTCTGAAGATGGACAAATAAGCATGCCAAGCGTTTTCCTGCAGTACGTTTAAATAGTATTCAAAATTTAGGCAATCACCTTTTATGATACTATACATTGTGCCTTATCCCTTTCACTGTTCCAACACTGTAGGTTAATGTCATTTAATTTTCATGGACTAAATGTTTTAAGTATGTTGAATTTTTGAAACTTTTAGAAATTGTAAATCCAATATGTACATGATGCTAAATGATAGCGGGTTGTTTGGCATTCAGTTTCACGCAGTTAATTCGGCTTCCTACATAATACCTAAGGAGCAGTGAAGTAGTGTTATTTCATGCTTACAATGTACCGCCAGACCCTGACGCATAAAGTTGCACAAGTCAGTCACGTTTGAAAACAACATAGTGGAAGCACTTGGTACAAAACAAAACAATAGAAACACTTATTATATGTCTATTTTTGAGGCGCCAAATTCCGTCCACCAAGTGGTTGATCATAGCTACATGATAGAAAAAGATAAATTCAATATACTTATATCGATTCTGTGGAGTAATTGAGAGTTCACTGATTGTACCAATCGTTGGAAAATGTGTGTAGTCCAGATTTGAAAGAAAACAGAGAAGGTGAAGTCTTAAGATCCTGTGGGAATTTCTTCCAAAGAACTGCTGCAACATTAAGGATTTGAGTCCAAGCTATCTTTGGACTCTTTGGTCCGGTCAGTAGGTGGTCGTTGGCTGACCGTAACTGTCTTTCTGGTGCATAAGATGTGATGAGATCGGCAAGGTAGGATGGGACCAAGGCGTTACAGATCTGTAGGTGATGGTCCAGATCTTGTATTGAATCCTTGCTTTGATGTAATGACATCATGACTGATGCCGTCTTGCCTCATCTGCTAACCAAAGGCGTTGCTGACTTCTGGATTCTCTGGAGATTTGCCCAACCCAGCCCATTACAATAATCCAACCTGGAAAGGATCAGACACTTGACCAGATGATATGCAGCTTCTTTTGTGAGGTGTGTGCGGATGGATCCGATGTTCCATTAAACAAACAGTCAGTAAGATCAGTGGTGATATACGTTAATTCATGTACCTAGAGCGTATATCTTTACAGTTGTATGCTGTATCGCATACAACATGTACAATATGATTAATCTCACTGTCAACTGACTGAAATATACAAAAGGCTTGTACATTACAGTTTATAATCACGCGGTGTCGTGTGTTAGTCCAAAATGGATCTCTTGTTACGTGGGATTGAGGTGAAGTAAGTTTGATGACTGTGTGAATGCGAGAACGATACTTCCTTAATTTGGTGATGAACAGAACGCCCTGTTTGCATGGCATCAGAAACCCCTGTCAGGTGGGTCATCTTCAACACTGCAAAATGATGGGAGAGAAAATGTGTACACCCCTGGTGGCGGCTCTGCTGACACATTCATCATAGGCTGGTGGTGGTGTATTTTCAACTCGCGGCGGCGTAGGTCGGGCTGGTTCAAATGGCGGACGTGCGACAGGTGTTCCCAAAGCTAAACGAGATGGCGGCGGGGTAGGTCGGGCTGGCTCGGGTGGCGGAAGTACGACAGGTTCTCCCAAAGCTAAACAAGATAAATACAAAGAGTTATCATTATTTGACATATACCAAAGCATGTGAAAGTGTTTGTGTTGTCGACAAATAATAACATTGCAATTGTATTTAAAAATACGAAGAGTGATCACACACACACACACACACACACACACACACACACACACACACACACACACACACACACACACACTCTCTCTCTCTCTCTCTCTCTCACACACACACATACACACACACACACACACACACACACACACACACACACACACACTCAGACTAACTCAGCTCATTACGATAACGAGTTTTCACCCACCAGAAAGGAAGTTTCCTGCCGCTGTCAGTAATTTTCCAGCTATGTCACAGGCCTGTAATATAGGGCCTGAGAAACCGGTTAGACCACGTACATCGTACAAAGACACAGAATAAGTCAGGTCAAGGAGACCACTAGATCCACAATTTTGTCATGTTTAAGACAACCAAGGGCTTCTGACATCCAACCCCATCCTCACACAGAACACTGCTGGGCAAACGAAAACGGGATTTGACCAAAATATGACAACCGTTCTGAAAACGTTACTGGGCTGAAACAGTCGCCGAAACTGCAAACTTGATGTCCCCAAAAACAACAATAATACCATCATTAGAAATATAACCTTCAAATTGTTACACCTTCTGTTTCACTTTAGCCATCATCAAACATGTGTGTTTACATTCTTTTGCCAGGTAGTGGTGGCTTATATCCCAGGGTAATATGACGATAGCCCTGATCAGCTAACATGCATCCCTCGATACGCACGCACGCTTGCACGCACGCACACACGCACACACGCGCGCGCGCACACACACACACACACACACACACACACACACACACACACACACACACACACACACACATACATACATACAGTAAACTACGGTTATAACGAACTCAAAGGGACCACTAACTTTAGTTCGTTGTAACTGTAGTTCGTTATAAGCATTTATACAGCATATATACATCAAATGGCCGGGAGTAAAAAATAAGTTCGTTATATCGGTCAGTTCGTTATAAGCGTGTTCGTTATTACCGTAGTTTACTGTACATACATACATACATACATACATACATACATACATACATACATACACCAATGCGATAAATTTGGTATCACGATCCGATAACTATGTAAATGAGATCAAGAACTATTTTAAGAAGAAATTGCCTTTACGCCCAATTGAATCTGTCGGTAGATTCTCGAGACGGACTATTCTCTGGCGTTGATGTTCTATATTTACACTCCAGGCTACTATGAAATGTAAAATATATATCACGTGAGGCATAACCATATAAATCCACAGAGCGATACTCACTTGTACACCCATGGTTCACATATAAATATATACACCAGTATATGTACCTGTAAACATCGGCGGCTGGTTTTTTGGCGCTTTTCTCCTTGACTTCCGGCAGAAGTACACAACACCTGCGATGAAGAGGATGACAAACAATGCTCCAATGACGATCCCAGCGATTGCCACTTTCGGAAATCTGACAGAAGTATATAAATGAGTCGCCATATACGAATTTACAAAACTCTCGGACCAAGGGCAGCAGATGGAGCTGTGATGGATCCCCTCTCACATAGATATTCATTGAAATGAGAAAGCAGACTCACTGGCGAAGCTAGCTCTAGACAAAGCGGAGATCCAGCCTATTCCCTTCAGTAAACTAGAGATGAAAAGCAAAATCAAAGCTTCCATAGCACCAATAGCCCAAAGGGAGATGCAAGTAAGATCAGCATATGGCTATACAAAATTCAACCCAAGATCCAACAAAAGCAAGACTCATACTCAAATGAAAGGAAAATTGAAATTGCCATCTCATGCCTCAGACTCGGTCACAAAAAAACACTATGGCAAGGTTTGTTCATCTTGCAATCAGACTGAATCCATTGGTTAAAACAAGAATTGTAGTTAGATCCGCTATCTGTCATAGATCTCCTAAAGACAAGAGATGCAATAGCGAAGGCCAAATTGACTCTATTTCTGAGAGATGGACAGTAACTCGAACGTATATAAACAGAGCAGCCAAGAATAAAAATGAAATTATATCAATATACGAAAATAGAAATCATATCAATACAAAAACAGTAATTATGTGAATAAGACAGACAGACAGGTAGATACGGCGGACGGACAGACGGACAGAAAGGATAATGCAAACATACACACATACAGACAGATAGGTGGACAAAGAAGGAAATTAGACACAGTCACACAGACCGACAGCTAAGGCAGACAGACCGTAAGGCAGACAGACAGGCAGACAGATAGGTGGACAAAGAAGAAAATTAGACACAGTCACACAGACCGACAGCTAAGGCAGACAGACCGTAAGGCAGACAGACAGGCAGACAGAAAGATGGGTACAGAAGGAAATTAGGCAGAGAGACAAGACAGATAACGTAGACAGGCAGACAGACAATCAAACAAATAGATAAGACAGACAGATGACTAAGACAGACAGATCAGGCACAAAATTCGGAGAGATGAGTGAAACAGACGGAACGACAGATTGGACAGATGGACAGACAGACATAAAATGCAGACAGATAAGGCAAACAGACAGATAGGGAGAGGGGGCAGACAGATAGAGACACATCCAGATAAAAGGTAAACGGACAGATAAGGGAGACAGACAGATAAGGCAGACAGACAGACAGTGAAGCAGACAAAGGTTACGGCATACATATAGGCAGACAGGCAAACAGACTATCAAACAGAGACATAAGGCATACGGGCAGATAGTTAAGTACACAAACATAAAGCCATACAGATAAGGCAGACAGACAAGGCAGACAGAGAGACAGACAAGGCAGACATACATACAGATAAGGCAGACAGACAAGGCATACATACATACAGATAAGGCAGACACACAAGGCAGACATACATACAGACAAGGCAAACAGACAAGGCAGACATACATACAGATAAGGCAGACATACATACAGATAAGGCAGACATACATACAGACAAGGCATACATACATACAGACAAGGCAGACATACATACATATAAGGCAGACACACAAGGCATACATACATACAGACAAGGCAAACAGACAAAGCAGACAGATAAGGCAGACATACATACAGATAAGGCAGACATACAAGGCAGACATACATACAGATAGGGCAGACAGACAAGGCAGACATACATACAGATAAGGGAGACAGACAAGGCATACATACATACAGATAAGGCAGACATACAAACATATAAGGCAGACACACAAGGCAGACATACATACAGACAAGACAGAAAGACAAGGCAGACAAACATACAGACAAGACAGACAGACAAGGCAGACATACATACAGACAAGGCAGAAAGACAAGGCAGACATACATACAGACAAGGCAGAAAGACAAGGCAGACAGACAAGGCAGACAAACATACAGATAAGGCAGACAGACAAGACAGAAAGACAAGGCAGACAAACATACAGACAAGACAGAAAGACAAGGCAGACAAACATACAGACAAGGCAGACAGACAAGGCAGACAGACAAGGCAGACAGACAAGACAGAAAGACAAGGCAAAAAGACATACAGACAAGACATAAAGACAAGGCAGACAAACATACAGACAAGACAGAAAGACAAGGCAGACAGACAAGGCAGACAAGACAGAAAGACAAGGCAGAAAGACAAGGCAGAAAGACAAGGCAGACAAACATACAGACAAGGCAGACAGACAAGGCAGACAGACAAGGCAGACAGACAAGACAGAAAGACAAGGCAGAAAGACATACAGACAAGACAGAAAGACAAGGCAGACAAACATACAGACAAGACAGAAAGACAAGGCAGACAGACAAGGCAGACAAACATACAGACAAGGCAGACAGACAAGGCAGACAGACAAGGCAGACAAACATACAGACAAGGCAGACAGACAAGGCAGAAAGACAAGGCAGACAAACATACAGACAAGGCAGACAGACAAGGCAGACAGACAAGACAGAAAGACAAGGCAGAAAGACGTACAGACAAGACAGAAAGACAAGGCAGACAAACATACAGACAAGACAGAAAGACAAGGCAGACAGACAAGGCAGACAAACATACAGACAAGGCAGACAGACAAGGCAGACAAACATACAGACAAGACAGAAAGACAAGGCAGACAAACATACAGACAAGGCAGACAGACAAGGCAGACAGACAAGGCAGACAGACAAGACAGAAAGACAAGGCAGAAAGACATACAGACAAGACATAAAGACAAGGCAGACAAACATACAGACAAGACAGAAAGACAAGGCAGACAGACAAGGCAGACAAGACAGAAAGACAAGGCAGAAAGACAAGGCAGAAAGACAAGGCAGACAAACATACAGACAAGGCAGACAGACAAGGCAGACAGACAAGGCAGACAGACAAGACAGAAAGACAAGGCAGAAAGACATACAGACAAGACAGAAAGACAAGGCAGACAAACATACAGACAAGACAGAAAGACAAGGCAGACAGACAAGGCAGACAAACATACAGACAAGGCAGACAGACAAGGCAGACAGACAAGGCAGACAAACATACAGACAAGGCAGACAGACAAGGCAGAAAGACAAGGCAGACAAACATACAGACAAGGCAGACAGACAAGGCAGACAGACAAGACAGAAAGACAAGGCAGAAAGACATACAGACAAGACATAAAGACAAGGCAGACAAACATACAGACAAGACAGAAAGACAAGGCAGACAGACAAGGCAGACAAACATACAGACAAGGCAGACAGACAAGGCAGACAGACAAGGCAGACAAACATACAGACAAGGCAGACAGACAAGGCAGACAAACATACAGACAAGACAGACAGACAAGACAGATATATATACAGATAAGGCAGACAGACAAGACAGACATATATACAGACAAAGCAGACAGACAAGGCAGAAAGACAAGGCAGAAAGACAAGGCAGACAAACATACAGACAAGGCAGACAGACAAGGCAGAAAGACAAGGCAGACAAACATACAGACGAGGCAGAAAGACAAGACAGACAAACATACAGACAAGGCAGACAGACAAGGCAGAAAGACAAGGCAGACAAACATACAGACAAGACAGAAAGACAAGGCAGACAAACATACAGACAAGGCAGACATACATACAGATAAGGCAGAAAGACAAGGCAGACAAACATACAGACAAGACAGAAAGACAAGGCAGACAAACATACAGATAAGACAGACAGACAAGGCAGACATACATACAGACAAGGCAGAAAGACAAGGCAGACAAACATACAGACAAGACAGAAAGACAAGGCAGACATACATGCAGATAAGACAGACAGACAAGGCAGACATACATACAGACAAGGCAGAAAGACAAGGCAGACAAACATACAGACAAGACAGAAAGACAAGGCAGACAAACATACAGACGAGGCAGAAAGACAAGGCAGACAAACATACAGACAAGGCAGAAGGACAAGACAGACAAACATACAGACAAGGCAGAAAGACAAGGCAGACAAACATACAGATAAGACAGAAAGACAAGGCAGACAAACATACAGACAAGACAGAAAGACAAGGCAGACAAACATACAGACAAGGCAGACAGACAAGGCAGACAAACATACAGATAAGGCACACAGACAAGACAGAAAGACAAGGCAGACAAACATACAGACAAGGCAGAAAGACAAGGCAGACAAACATACAGATAAGACAGAAAGACAAGGCAGACAAACATACAGACAAGACAGAAAGACAAGGCAGACAAACATACAGACAAGACAGAAAGTCAAGGCAGACAAATATACAGACAAGGCAGACAGACAAGGCAGACAGACAAGACAGAAAGACAAGGCAGACAAACATACAGATAAGGCAGACAGACAAGTCAGACATACATACAGATAAGGCAGACATACATACAGATAAGGCAGGCATACATTCAGATAAGGCAGACAGACAAGGCAGACATACATACAGATAAGGCAGACAGACAAGGCAGACAGACAAGGCAGACAAACATACAGACAAGGCAGACAGACAAGGCAGACATACATACAGACAAGGCAGACAGACAAGGCAGACATACATACAGACAAGGCAGACAGACAAGGCAGACATACATACAGACAAGGCAGACAGACAAGGCATACAGACATACAGATAAGGCAGACAGACAAGGCAGACAGACAAGACAGACATACATACAGACAAGGCAGACAAACATACAGACAAGACAGAAAGACAAGGCAGACAGACAAGGCAGACATACAGACAGACAAGGCAGACATACATACAGACAAGACAGAAAGACAAGGCAGACAAATATACAGACAAGACAGAAAGACAAGGCAGACAAACATACAGACAAGGCAGACAGACAAGGCAGACATATATACAGACAAGGCAGAAAGACAAGGCAGACAAATATACAGACAAGGCAGACATACATACAGACAAGGCAGACATACATACAGACAAGGCAGACAGACAAGGCAGACATACATACAGACAAGGCAGTCAGACAAGGCAGACAAACATACAGACAAGGCAGACAGACAAGGGAGACAAACATACAGATAAGGCAGACAGACAAGGCAGACAGACAAGGCAGACATACATACAGATAAGGCAGACAGACAAGGCAGACATATATACAGACAAGGCAGACAGACAAGGCAAACAAACATACAGATAAGGCAGACATACATACAGATAAGGCAGACAGACAAGAGAGAAAGACAAGGCAGACAAACATACAGATAAGGCAGACAGACAAGGCAGACATATATACAGACAAGGCAGACAGACAAGGCAAACAAACATACAGATAGGGCAGACATACATACAGATAAGGCAGACATACATACAGACAAGGCAGACAAACATACAGACAAGGCATACATACATACAGACAAGGCTTACATACATTCAGACAAGGCATACATACATACAGAGAAGGCATACATACATACAGACCAGGCAGACAGACAAGGCAGACATACATACAGATAAGGCAGACATACATACAGATAAGGCAGACATACATACAGATAAGACAGACAGACAAGGCAGACATACATACAGACAAGGCAGACAGACAAGGCAGACAGACAAGGCAGACAAACATACAGATAAGGCAGACAGACAAGGCAGACATACATACAGACAAGGCAGACAGACAAGGCAGACATACATACAGACAAGGCAGACATACATACAGACAAGGCAGACAGACAAGGCAGACATATATAAAGACAAGGCAGACATACATACAGACAAGGCAGACATATATAAAGACATATATAAAGACAAGGCAGACAGACAAGGCATACATACATACGGACAAGGCATACATACATACAGACAAGGCTTACATACATTCAGACAAGGCATACATACATACAGACAAGGCATACATACATACAGACAAGGCAGACATACATACAGATAAGGCAGACATACATACAGATAAGGCAGACATACATACAGATAAGACAGACAGACAAGGCAGACATACATACAGACAAGGCAGACAGACAAGGCAGACATACATACAGACAAGGCAGACAGACAAGGCAGACATACATACAGACAAGACAGAAAGACAAGGCAGACATATATACAGACAAGGCAGACATACATACAGACAAGGCAGACATACATACAGACAAAGCACACAGACAAGGCAGACATTCTGCTTCTGACATACATACAGATAAGGCAGACATACATACAGATAAGGCAGACATACATACAGATAAGATAGACAGACAAGGCAGACATACATACAGACATACATACAGACAAGGCAGACATACATACAGACAAGGCAGACAGACAAGGCAGACGTACATATAGACAAGGCAGACAGACAAGGCAGACAGACAAGACAGAAAGTTAAGGCATACAGACAGACAGATAATGGGTGAGTGAGTGAGTATGATTTTACGCCGCTTTAGCAATATTCCAGCAATATCACGGCGGGGGACACCAGAAATGGGCTTCACACATTGTACCCATGTCGGGAATGTCCTACTCTTTCGAGCGGGAGCTACCATTATGGTACAAGCGTCGGTGTGTCACACAGAAAACCCTAATTCGATTTCCCACAATGTGTTAAGCACGTAATTATTGTCCCTCTTCTTGATACTGGTATCATGTATCAATGAAGCTAAATGCGGCGTACACCTCAACTCACTCACCCATCTACAATGTGATGCACCAACCTTTCTACTTCACAGCAAGTTTTTGTAGAACGTGGATTGCAACACTGTCCTTCACAAAGGAAAAATCCGCCAAGTATTCTAGAAGGTTCAGTAGAAAATTCCTTGAAGCATAGTTGCGAAGCTTGAGCTGTAACGAGAATTGTAATGTCTTCATTCCTCACTGGTGGCCCAGTCGTCTCAGGCGCCACGATTCGCTGTGGCACCGCAGAAACCAATGATTGTGGGTTCGAATCCCAGTTCGCCCCGATTATGTTTCTAGGTTTGTCAGCACCATACCCGTGCTCATGGGTTTCACCGAAGTGGTAAACGTCTGAGACCCGCATCACTTCGGGCTTTCCTCCCAAATTAAGCAGACACGCCGCGACATATAACTAGAATACCGTTAAACCCAACTCTCTCACTCACTCATTCGTTAGCTTTGAGTAACACAACTGTTGAACACGCACCCATTCACTCATACACCCTCCCCCACTCACCCACACACCCCTCACGCACGTACCCAAGAGCTATTGTGTTGGGAAACATGTGATATCCTTCGACAAGTGACTGAATAATCTTACATTTACGATTGGTAAGGTTTCATATTAATTTTAGAATAGCATATTTATGTGAATACAATTGCAAGAGTCCAAACATATAGCAGAAGCACTGTATACATGTCAGCAAACCTGTTGCTGACTGCATTAGAAGCAGACCCCGTAAAGGGCACAATGACACGCGATCAGCCAGGTCACCCCGATCTTCCATTTCAGTGGCGAGTAATGTGGACATTTTCTGACATTTTCCTGGAGTTCTCACGCGGTTCAGCAGTGAGATTTGTTTCCAACATATACCTATATACACCTTATCCATATTTGATTAATAGAGGTACAAACGATGAACCAGTAAATACTTACAAACAACGGTTAACACCAGCACAGCAAATCCATTCTGTATAAGGGTCATCTTATTATATTTAAAGCGACGACACTGCGTCTGCCCAGTCGACAGTTAAACATATAAGATATACCCTCTCATGGGATGTTGCGAAACACCACACAGCACACACTGAAAAAGCATTCTAAATTAAGCCGAATACTGGATGACTGCCAGTGTATACAAACATGTATGTTATCCTGGTAGAATGGGTGGGTATGTAAATAAAGCCATTCGTCGTTTTGTATAGAACTGTGATTCGAGGGTTTAAACGAAAGCGATGATTCGCTATGTACAGTTATGTCCCTTGGTGGTGCGCCCTTCTTATGATTCTCGGTCTGTCATCTCCTGATGCGTGGATGTTGGTTACGCCTGCTTGCATGAACGGACGAACGGACTACTGTTTCGTGATTGGCTTGCATTAGAACAGGCGTGGCTTGTGGTGGATTATTGAGTTGAACGATGTGTGTTGATTGGGTGAGTTTTTGTGAGTGAGTTCGGTTTTACGCCGCGTTTAGCAATATTCCAGCAATATCACGGCGAGGGACACCAGAAATAGGCTTCACACATTGTACCCATGTCGGGATTCGAACCCGGGTCTTCGGCGTGAATGTCATCGTCCCACAGATGACATTCTTTTATATTTCTCTTTGACCATGTGGACTTATGAAGTGAAGTTTGGTGTTTCGAATCTAATTACAGAACATTTTCGTTAAGTAACTTTAATTGTTGGTAATTGTATGAATCGAATATTAAGCATGGTGTATTAAGCATTTATGTATGGTATATTTTGAAAGATGTGTACGTGTCAAAGTCCATATTTCACATGGAAGGTTTTAGAACAGACATGTACCTATGGACAAAATCATTTTCCATTTGCGTATGATTAAGATAGTACTAGTAAATTCAAAGTGAACATGATGCTAAATAATTGTGGGTTTTGTCATTCCGGTTCACTAAGTTAATTCTGCTTCCAACATAATACCTTGGGGAGCGTTGGAGTATTGATATATCTCAAGCTTACATTGTTATCAATGAAGCGTCAGATCCTGCCGAATAAAGTAAGATCTTGCACAACAAGACAGTCGCTCTGGGAAACAACACAGTTTAAACGACATACACGATTTGATTCATTCATATTGAGTTACGACTGGTGCAAGTGTTCTCTTGTGATAGTCACGTCACGCAAACAAGTTCCAACATAGATCCCTTTGTACGTAGGATTGAGGTGAGCCAAGTGAGAGAGAGAGAGATTTAGCAATGCACACATTTACATCTGTATTCATACCCGTCCAATATCCTGGTAGGTGTGTTGTGTCATGTATGAAAGGGGGTAGCGATACAAAACCAAAATAATGACATGTACATGTGTGTCCATACCATTTGGAATAATTTAGACGGTTTACAATTTCAAACCGTATTCCAAACGTTACATATAGAAACGAAACTTCCCCTTAAATTTCCAGGTATTAATAGCAAATTGTTCGCAGGTTTGGCATATATGAGATAAGTTTGAACTACTTTGAGGTATACAAGACGAATCAACGAGTTGTGCGGCATTTTATTTCCTTTCATGACCGTATGCAGGCATCAATGCTCAATCAAACCTTATACCATGGAGACCGCCTCCGTGGTCTTGTGGTAGAGTGTCCGCCCGGAGAGCGGAAGGTCCAGTGTTCGATCCCGGGCCGCGTCATACAAAAAGACGTTAAAAGATTGTACTTGTTGTTACCCTGTCTGGCGCTGGGCATTAAGGGGCTAAAACAAGGACTGGTCGGCTCGGAGTCAGTATACTGTGTCTGAGTGGGGTATTCATGTTAAACTATGGCATGGTATCTCAGTGAGCTAGCACTATAAATCGGCATCAGTCCGGACTAGTACAAGCAGCCACACACACACATACACGTGCATGCACGTCGCTATATAAGTGCAATAATCTTGGACGCGACGTTAAACCCAATTTCACCTTATACCATGGAAATATATGGACATATATGTTATGTGATCTCTGCATGGAAAGGGAGGACAATCTAATTACAGTCTGGAGCTATCTTAGTGGTTTTCGCATTGAGAAAAATGACTTCACGCCGCATTGCGTTATTTATTTATCGTTGGTCAAATATACTCAACAACAAAAGTTCCTGTGACACCAATATTTTAGTGTATTTTTCAAACAAGTAAAGTTTGGTTTTTAATATTGTTGTACATGTATGGAATCAAGTCACAAAAAACGCAACTACTACAGAAAAGCATGCATTCCATGCAAAAGTTGACTTTTATGCAAGCCCCATGCATTTCACTACCCAAGAATGGGTATAAAAACATGTGCGTTAACGGGATTCCATATGCATTGTTTAGCATCGTGCTGACAACAACCACTCAGAAAACAACAAAATTACGCAGTTATAAAACATTGCGAAATGCCGAGCCTGTCTGAAAATGAGCGTCTGCGAGCCACTGGTATGCTTGAATCGGGATCGAGTCAACGTGATGTTGCAAATCAATTTTACGTCCACAGAAACACCATTTGGTGTTTATGGCAACGTTGGCAACAGACGAATGCAGTCAGAGGCCATCCTCTGAGTGGCAGGCCACGCGTAACCAATAATCGACAAGACAACTGGATTCGAACAAGGCACCTACGAAATCGATTCCAGCCAGCAACAATGACTGCAAGACGCATCCCTGGCCTTCGACGAATATCTTCACAAACCGTACGTCGCCGCCTCAGATGTGCAGGGATTGTCGCCAGAAGACCCGCGAGACGTCCCATTTGACAGGAAACCACCGTCAAGCACGTTTACAGTGGTATATGCAGCAGATTTGGACAGATATCCCACAGTACTTTGTGCGACGCATGGTCCATTCCATGAGGCGAAGATGTGTTGCTTGCATCGCAACCGGAGGTGGACACACACGATATTGATTTGTAAATTGACATTTTGGCATGTTCATGTGTTTTTTTTATGAAATCACGCATTTTCTGAAGTCAGTATGGCAAATTAAACCATTTAAACACTTACAGGAGTCTTTTATCTGTTGCAAACCGAAATTGTTTCAGATTTGGTAAAAAACATAACTTTGCATTAAATCTTATTCTATGTCACAGGAACTTTTGTTATTCAGTATATTAACTTGCCATCTTATCCCTAAGGAAAACATTCTTCTTAATCAACAGTTTGAACATATTTTTTTAGTCATCTTTTCATTAAATTTCGAGAGGCAATAGCACTGCATTTTCCAAATGAATACAATACATCAATCTAAATATATAGGTCGTGAATGACCGATGACTGATTACCCAAAACTTTTCCAGGAATTAGTTCCATAAAAAGAATAAACTATGAGCCCACGACGTAGTTTTGCGATGTTCGTGGAAATTAGTTCTGCTGTAGTTTCGACACATATGTGTCAGGAACCTTACTTTATATTGACAAAATATATTGATAATACAGTTTCTTGGACGTCCAGCACTTTCGATTAGGCAAGCCGATTTAGAACCACCGATGATGCTGCGGTGTCACCTAAAATCCTGTGGATGCACGGCTGGCCAATATGTTATCGTGCCGGATATGTCATAACACTCATTCGGAATCATTAACTACTATGTTACTTGTTTTGACTCATTTCAAGCGTGACTACATCAAATTCTTCAGTTCAAAGTCATAATAATCAAATCAACTACTAGTAAATAAAAGATAAAAAATATCCTCGTCTACGCGATCCCCTTTTGGGAGGGGATTAACCATTGATTGATTGAAGCGAGTGCGAGTATTACTGAACTGCACATGTTCCATAGAACCACAATCAAAATAGTTGCTAAATTTATGAGAACTATATTGTTTTAGATACCCTAGATACAAGTTCATGGACGAAATGTTAACTGCAGAATATATATATATATATATATATATATATACACACACAAACACACACACACACACACACACACACACACACACACACACACACACACACACACACACACACACACACACACATATAAATATATATATATGTATGTATCTAATGCGGTCTAACCGGTCTCTCAGGCCCTATATTACAGGCCTGTGACATAGCTGGAAAATTACTGACAGCGGCAAGACACTTACTTCCTGGTGGGTGAATACTCGTTATCGTAATGAGCTGAGTTAGTGCATGTACACTACCTGGCAAAAGAATGTAAACACACATGTTTGGTGATGGCTAAACAGAAACAGAAGGTGTAACAATTTGATGGTTATATTTCTAATGATGGTATTATTGTTGTTTTGGGGGACATTAAGTTTGCAGTTTCGGCGACTGTTTCAGCCCAGTAACGTTTTCAGAACGGTTGTCATATTTTGGTCAAATCCCGTTTTCGTTTGTCCAGCAGTGTTCTGTGTGAGGATGGGGTTGGATGTCAAAAGCCCTTGGTTGTCTTAAACATGACTAAATTGTGGATCTAGTGGTCTCCTTGACCTTACTTATTGTGTGTCTTTGTACGATGTACGTGGTCTAACCGGTTTCTCAGGCCCAATATTAAAGGCCTGTGACACAGCTGGAAAATTTCTGACAGCGGCAGGACACTTACTTCCTGGTGGGCGAATACTCGTTATCGTAATTAGCTGAGTTAGCTACATATTGAATGTGACATGTTGTTTGGGTTTGTGTGTGTGTGTGTGTGTGTGTGTGTGTGTGTGTGTGTGTGTGTGTGTGTGTGTGTGTGTGTGTGTGTGTGTACGTGGTATTGAGCGTTCGCGTAAGATTATATTGTATTGATCGATTAGGTTTCATCAGGGACCCGTCGTGGTAAAGCTGTCCCTGCCATTGTTCCTGTCGGTTGTGTGTAATATACATCCGTCCCATGGGGAAGGAGGGCTCGACGAATACCGTCCCTGCAGCTCCTGGGCTGTGTGTCGCCGGTGCAGGCTGGAGGGAGTATACGTCACCGGGGGCGTAGCTTTTGTCTGTGTTGTGTGCGCCTGGATAACATACATATAGGTGATGCACGTGATCTATGATCTACATAATCTACAAGAGGTACACGATAGTCTGTGTTGTGTGCGCCTGGATAACATACATATAGGTGATGCACGTGATCTCCCCTGATCTACATAACCTACAAGAGGTACACGATAGTCTGTGTTGTGTGCGCCTGGATAACATACATATAGGTGATGCACGTGATCTATGATCTACATAACCTACAAGAGGTACACGATAGGCTGTGTTTAGTGTATATACATATGTATATAGAGGGGTGAGATTATTTTTCTATACGAATATATTATGCTATTTACTCTATCATCGACAGCTTGGTTGTTATTGCCTAGCGTTAATAGTCCTTAAACTGTCAGTTGGTTTATCCTTGTCATTGAATCTTACTGCAATAGGTCTTTATATTTATTTTTTCTGCATCATGTATGTGTATTCACGTCCGCTCTTTAACACCTTTTGACAATTACGAATCGGAGCCTCTGTGAGTGAGGCGTTACTCTAGCATGGGCGGCCCAATCGTTAGTTATACAGTGACAGGGCGTGAGGATTGTGATAACATTCACGCTCTGCAGACTGAATAATAACACAACCAGGAAATAATATTAATATACAAAGGTTACAGATTATTTCACAATGCGTTCGAATATGATTAATTCAGTGAAACTAATCTACATGTACTTGGACATACATAAACTGAGGGGCAAAAGAAAATATACCCAGCTGTTCCTATGTAATTGTAAATTGAAAGAAATGTTGTTACATTTGATTAAGCCTCTTAACCATCACTCATTCTTTAACAGTTTGTAACAAGTAACCTGTGGCTGGGTAATTTTGTGAAAAATACATTGGTTACATGACGACTCGGGAAAGAAATGAATTTGCAACTACATGGCCTCTTCCATGTTTGAAAAGCTGTAACTGTGTGCCGATAAAAGCAATTTTAATTATTTTCAAAAATAAGATGTTTGGGGCATCAGCACTTGTGTATCGTGCGATCTTTCCAATTTTTAAAGATTTAACTCAATTAAAATTTTAGAACTATAACCTTGTAGAATTGTTGACTGTCAGTGCAGTTAATCTTTTTGGATAGCAATTCCCTTACTTTAGATAATTGCAATTGAAAATCAAACATATGATAAAATCAACTGATCGGAGAGGTGTAGTTAAACTTTCTTGTGCTCCTCGGTACCTTTAACTGGATATCTCTAAACTGATAGACAGGTATGCCATCCCGATAATATCGTCCTTTTTTATAAACATTTTTCTTTATAATCTCAGTTAGTTGTATAGAGTTGCGATCCCTAGATGTCCCAGCATCATATTAATGTGGATGCGAATCCAAGATTCACCCTGCATATGATTCTTCCTTTGTAAACACCAGAGCCCACTTGCACAAAGCGATCTTAGCGCTAAGACTATCGTAAGCCTATGTTAAAGTATGGGAGTTACGATCATCTTAGCGCTAAGATCGCTTTGTGCAAGTGGGCCGAGCTCGTTGGTTTCAGCAAAATGGTATATGACTACGACCCTATCACCTTTGCTGGTCCTCCCACATATGTTGACAGGCCATGATATAACTGCCATGCTGTTCAAAACTTAATCCAATTCACTCACTTATCTTAATAAATCAGGAACAGATACTTTGACTTTGAATGTTTTTCAAGTCATAAGACATCAATTTCTTCTCAAATGTGAATGCATCAGAATTGAGAAGCCAGATGTATGCACATAATTCCAAAATAGTCACCATTATGTTATTTTTGTATGTAAAAATAACACATAAAGGATATTTCACTCGACAATTAAATTATATCCTTACAAATGTAAAGCCTTGAAACGTACACTCTCCCTACCTAACACGCAGGGACGTTTCACTACCCCTTGTAATTGCGACATAAAAAGTAATTCCATGTTTGCAAAATCTTTAAAGATCTAAACGAAAATAACAAAAAATATTTGAATTCATTAATATTCTTTATTGACATTTGGATATGAGTTTATACATTTAATCAACTTGAACAAAAAGTATTCTTGAAATCTGCGAGACCGCTGTTGGAATCGAATTAATACATGCTGGTCAAGTGACAAAAATGGCGTTTTACAAAAGGAACAGTCTCGATTTACGAATTAAAAATGAGAAATTTAGAGTTTATAACGAAACATTTTCAAGAGAAAAACAAAAGGCAAGAAGCGATATTAGCCCAATAAATGGCTCTCTGTGACATTGTGCGTTGTCACAGTGTGAAACTGACGAAAAAAGGAAGTCAACAGTTTGTGTACGTGCTGGCACTTACAATAAAGGGAGACAATTTGCGGGGAGGTAGCTCCAGTAAAACAATAGTCCCGTCAAAGTGCTATGTTCATTGCAGTGAAGTAGCAAGTATTATGTACACTGCAATGAAAATATCATCTCAACTGCAGAAAACTTAGTCCTTCACACTGAAGTATATAATAAAAATATGGCAAATATGCGGACCTCGCTCTCGAAATGTCACCCTTGCATCCCAAGTCCGACTCCCCATTGTTCTGGGTGCCTTAGGTTTGGTGCCTCCCAATCTGTTGACTGACATTGGGAGAGTACCCGGGTTTGCTACCAGGAATACAGCCCTTCTGACAATCTGGGTAATGCAGAAGGCTGCAGTGTTGGGGAGTCTTCACATTCTCCGAAAAGTCCTGGGTGGGTTTGACTAGGCAGCGCTTCCTGGGAGAAGTCCCATTCGCTGTCTGGGCTGCGTGTAAAGGGGGCAAGGGCCCTGAGCTGATGATGAGCCTAACCAGCCTGACTGTGCCAAGATAACACAAACCCTCTTTGCTACATTTTTTATTTTAATCTGTAAATAATAATAATAATAACAACAACAACAACAATAATGACCAGTGGATGTCAGTGGTAGAAGCCCGGTGTCCGTCAATAACTTTGTGTAAAATCACTTCATTAAAAGTAGCAAGGTAGATTCTGCAATATGCAGTAGCGTTGTGTATGATTTGATTGTATTGATCAAATAGGATTTAGGGATATGTCGTGGGCAAAGCTGTTGGTTGTTGGTAATATGCACCCGTCTGCACAGGGTAGGGCGGTGGGGGGAATGTCGTCCCTGCATCTCCTGGGTAGTGTGTCACCGGTGCGGGTTGAGGGGGGCCGACGTAACCGGGGGCGTAGGCTGTATTTGGTGTGCCTGGATAACACAGATGACCAGTAACCTATTATTCTAAAGTACTCACGGAAATGAAAAAAACCCTGTTTTTTTTCGATCTCAGATTTTAAATAAATGCAGTTAATATACAAAATATATAAATATTCAAACAACTCAATTAGTACTAATTGGGCCTTGGCACATATACAGCGTATCAAAGGTTTTTATGTCTTTTTACACGTAAAAGTGTGTAGAAATATTAACAAAACAGACTATTGTGAAACTGAGCATAACCAGGTATTAGTAGATCAAAGTGAATGTCCATGACCTATGACACCTTGACGACAGGTGCTTGAAACCAACGTGCATGTGATTTGTCAGTGGTTAGTGATTTGTGAGTGGCATTGTGGGATAGTGAATTATCGTCAAAATATCAGAACGTAAAAGTAGTATATTCTCTTCTCAAACAACAACTTACATGTCATTATTATCATGTACATAAACATAGCTGTTATTTATATTGTTGTTTTCATAACTTTTTTTCCAGGCTAATTTGCATAATGCCTATAGACTGTTTCCGCCATTTCAATTTGGACTTAGTTTTACTTTTGAATATTGAAAGTGCCTACAAATTACCTCCTGTAAAGTGCATTTTGTATTGAGCACTGAGATAAAACTAGCAAATCCAGACTAGTACTTTTCCAGTTGTTTTGTTATTTCGTATTTACATCTACGTAATGCTTTGTGTCGATTATTAAATCCAGCAAAACAGGTTTTTTTCATTTCCATTAGTACTTTAGTAATTTTCGGAAGCATTATTTACCTCAATGAGTGTGAGTCTGGGTCTACGTCACTGTCGGCAATGTTAGTGCCATATCACGGCAGAGGACAATGAACCTCATGTACCCATCCATTGTGAAGATCCGGGGTAGAATAGGCCTTCACCCACCCATGCCTGCCGTAAAAGGCGACTATGCTTGTCGTAAGAAGCCACTTACGGGGTTGATGCATGTCATCACATCCCAATTGTGTGGATCGATGCTCATGATATCAATCAGTGGATTGTCTAGTCCAGACTCGATTATTTACAGACCGCCGTCATATAGCTGGAATATTGCTGAGTGCGGCGTTATACATTATACCAAAAGCGCTAATACCCACTCTACCACTTAAATCCAGTATACCCATCGTACAATTACTCCCATTGTACCCATGATACGTTTTATACGCATTGTACACATTTAGCCATTGTGCACTCATACCGATTGTGCCCAGGGTACGTATACCTTGTATACCCAGTGTACCGTTGTTCCCACTGCATCAACGTGACATTGTTTCCTTATATGGGGATATATGGATATAGACTTACGTGACTTACGTGATCTACATCATCTCTTGACTTATATGATCTGCATTGTACATCATCTACGTGATCTACGTGATCTACATTGTACATGATCTACGTGATCTACATTGTACATGAACTACATTGTACATGAACTACATTATACATGATCTACGTGGTCTACATTGTACATGAACTACGTGATCTACGTGATCTACATTGTACATGAACTACATTATACATGATCTACGTGATCTACATTGTACATGAACTACGTGATCTACGTGATCTACATTGTACATGAACTACATTATACATGATCTACGTGATCTACATTGTACATGATCTACATTATACATGATCTACATTATACATGATCTACGTGGTCTACATTGTACATGAACTACATTGTACATGAACTACATTATACATGATCTACATGATCTACATTGTACATGATCTACGTGATCTACATTGTACATGATCTACATGATCTACGTGATCTACATTGTACATGAACTACATTGTACATGAACTACATTATACATGATCTACATGATCTACATTGTACATGATCTACGTGATCTACATTGTACATGATCTACATGATCTACGTGATCTACATTGTACATGAACTACATTGTACATGAACTACATTATACATGATCTACATGATCTACATTGTACATGATCTACGTGATCTACATTGTACATGATCTACATGATCCACGTGATCTTCATTGTACACGATCTACGTGATCTACATTGTACACGATCTACGTGAAATACATGATCTACATGATCCACGTGATCTTCATTGTACACGATCTACGTGATCTACATTGTACATGATCTACGTGAAGTACATGATCTACGTGATCTACACTGTACATGATCTACGTGAAGTACATGATCTACGTGATCTACATTGTACATGATCTACGTGAAGTACATGATCTACGTGATCTACACTGTACATGATCTACGTGAAGTACATGATCTACGTGATCTGCACTGTACATGATCTACGTGAAGTACATGATCTACGTGATCTGCACTGTACATGATCTACGTGAAGTACATGATCTACGTGATCTGCACTGTACATGATCTACATTGTACATGATCTACGTGAAGTACATGATCTACGTGATCTGCACTGTACATGATCTACATTGTACATGATCTACGTGAAGTACATGATCTACGTGATCTGCACTGTACATGATCTACACTGTACATGATCTACGTGAAGTACATGATCTACATTTTACATGATCTACGTGATCTACATTGTACATGATCTACGTGATCTGCCGTCACATGGCAGGAGTACTGCTGTGCGGCATCAGGCAACAAACAAACACTTACTTTTTATGCAAATTGTGTGAGTGACGGGTGCTATCGATAGGACAGGGCTTGCTTGGAAGTAGTACTGTTTTCACTCACAAGTAGATGTCTTCAAATCTATATTTTGGAAGAATAATGAAGCTACAACATACCCGCGACTACCACAGACATCGGATAGTTGCTCCCCACCACTTGCCCACGTGCACGACGTGATGCATTGTTGCAGAAACACGCACTGCACACGATGCAGGAGACGATGAAGAAAACAACAACACCAACTGCGATCCCTACTATCGCCGGAACTGGAAGGGTTGGATGGTAATTGGTGCTGTAAAGGAAGGAAGTATTTCTGAATGCATTTTAGTGATGTGACGTTACATCATAAAGTGTATGTTCCTATTTACAATTGAGCACGGCGAGATGTTTTCCTCCTTGTTCAGTGAAACACGCCGTGACATAACTGGAATATTGTTAAAAGCGGCGTTAAACCCAACTCACTCACCCACTCACTCACTCAGTACATACGTTTGGCGTGCGTTATACTGGAATGTCTAAAATTAATTCAACCTTACCATACCCCACGGGTTTGGGATATGTTTAACACTTCATTATATTGTAATAGATGGTGAGTGTTGTGAAGGTATTTCTTATGTTGATGAAGTAAAGAACTACATAATAAAGTTGTTATAAAATAGCCAGGCGTGTGTCAAAACACATAAGGTTGAGATGCTTTGTTAATTAAGTCACAGAAACGTTATCGATTTTACACGATGTAAATATGTTTGTTTCCTCAGATGCAAATTGAGAATAGTAGTATTTTGCAAGGCGACAGGGAAATCATATTCGTTCTGTATTGGGTTTGGTCACACATATTCAACGAGAACTAGAAATTGCCAAATACATTCATATACATGTATTGTCAATAGCAATAGTAAAGGCATTAACTCACTTGGGACAACAGTATTTGTTGTCACCGCTTCCACAGCACCCGTACTCACACAGTGTATCACGAAAAAGGTTGTCGATGTAGCAGATATCGTAGCCATGTGCTTCAAATGGAATTGCATCTATATGAGCCTACTGGTATTAGTTATCTGATAAAGGTCAATGTTTGTGATATGGGTCTGTGTTCATTTTCGTTCTGAAAAAAAACATCATGTTGGTATATCTTGAAGTAACCTGTCGCCAGAGTCTTCAACTGTTATTTTGTATCCTATTGATGCTATTATCTTTGTTGGAACCAGGGGGCACGGGTGGCCATGTCGTCTAAGGCGCCGCAATTCGCTGTGCAGATTTGCGTCCCATGGGCACGCGAGAAACCTATGATTTTGGGTTCGAATCCCGGTTCTCCCCGATTATGTTTCTAGCTTTGTCAGCACCATACCCGTGCTCGTGGGCTTCACCGAAGTGGTAAACGTCTAAGACCCGCATCACTTCGGGCTTTCCTCCAGCATTAAGCTGACACGCCGCGATATAACTGGAATATATCCACTGAACCTCACTCACTAGGTCCAATGATGTGTCCTGTCCTTGAAGGATTTCATTAACTTACAGGCTGTGACAGCACTATCTCATTCTGGGGAATAGGCAATGTATTTGACAAAATTCGTCCTTAATGCAAGGATTGCTATCTTTAAATGACAACTGTTCATAAACAGTATTTGGATTTTGAGACAAGAGTTACATTTGCAACCAGATATAATTAGTTTATTATAGTAATTCTTGCATCTTCCATGAACTTGGGAAATACTGAATTCTGATTGGTCTCGTAGAGGTATGAAATCACAATAACTACATCTGATTCACACAGACGATTTAAAGACCGTATCACCATTGAAGATGAAAAGTCCTTTTCCTCAGCCAAGGTCGGTAGACAATTTTAAATAATTATGTTTACAATTACTGGTATATAGGTTGTAACATGCAGAGGGAAAAACCCCGACAGAAATCGACTGAGAGAGTACTGTAAAACGTGAAATTAACGCGAGCGTGAATTAAATGCGAAAAATGCGAGTGGTCTTTGCTCGCATTAACAAAAATCGCATTTATATCAAGAATAAGACATTTTGGATAGCAGAAATACCAACATAGACATACGCTGAAAACAAACAACTATGTATTCCATATCAATATTTAGCCTCGATACAGGCTCCTTATGACACAGTTAAGGAAGCTCTGTCAAACGTGACAGAGAAATTATAGGGAGGAATAAGTACTTGTGTTGAACCGCTAACTACAAGTTCTGCAGAACCTCTCGTCCCAGTACTCATGTCAGTCTACTTTTGTCATGGCCATACAGTTGCTGGTGGGTTTCACCAAGTGGTAAAGGATTTGGACATACAGCACTTCCGGCTTTCCTCCCACACCAAACTGACACACCGTCATACAATTGCACTAGTCTATGCCGCATTAAACCATCTCACTCACTAACTCTTGTCAAAAGAACCAGCTCCTTAAGTATTGATTAAACCCACATCTTACAAATGTCAGAAGTCAGCATGCAAGAGGAAGACCTGTCTCACTGAAGAAGAAACAAGTTTGCATGAAGGAGAATTTTTGTGAAAATGCGAAGTTTGCATCTGAAGGCGATTATGATGAGTGAGTGAGTGAGTGAGTTGGGTTTAACGCCGCTTTAAACAGTATTCCAGTTATATCACGGCGTGTCAGCTTAATGTGGGAGGAAAGCCCGAAGTGATGCAGGTCTCAGACGTTTACCACTTTGGTGAAACCCACGAGCACGGGTATGGTGCTGACAAACCTAGAAACATAATTTGGGTGAACCGGGATTCGAACCCACAATCATAGGTTTCTGGCGTGCCCAAGGGACGCAACTCTGCACAGCGAATCGCGGCGCCTTAGATGACTGGGCCACCCGTGCCCCCGCGATTATGATGAACATGATTACTCAAGATGAAACTAAACCTGCAGATATGAATAGTATTGTTATAGCATTTCAGATGCTTTGCCATTGATCTTGGATTGATACCAAGTATCTTCTAGTTGGGGGAAATACATTTGTATTTTTGGAGTTGTAGGTTTGCGCTGTTTAGTTTCAAAGTTATAGTGTATAAAGTAAGCAAATCTGGCGGCCATTCTATCTTGGCAGCCATCTTGGATTTCTAAAATTATTCAATGGTCATAGGTGGTACCAAGGAAGATAACAGCATCAGTAAGATACAAAATAACATTTGTCGACTCGGGTGCAAGGTGACTTCCTTGATTCCCACACCATAGACTAACATGGTTCATTATTTTCTGAACAAAATTGAACACAGATCCCTATCACAAACAGTGACCTATGTTAAAATACTGATACCACACTTATGTTGAAAAACAGGCCCGAAAACAAACTTGCCTGAGACATTAAACTAACAGAATATGAAGTCAAACCTTCTGAATACCGGATGTACTACGTTACTAAAATTGAAACTCCAAATGAAATTTAGCTATGATGTAGCAAGACAAACGAGTAATCAAAAGAGTAAAATAATGATGTGATTTATAATCACTTTCACTTTTTGACACATATCATTATAACTAGGTATGTATTTACTTACAAACGGCGACCAGTACCAGAATGTAACACCCAGTTGTAAGAGAACCCATCATGCTGAAGCTGGTCGTTGGAGAACTTCATGCATCTGTACATAGGTACAGGAATTGTGACTTGACTTTAACTTTCCTTATTCCCTGATAACATTCATGTTGCCGATAGTAATGACACAAAAGGTTTATATGACGTGATCAATGCTATCGCCATGTCCACCCATGTATGTACATGCTCTGTATTTTCCTGGTTACATGTTTTGCGTCAGCAAGTGAGTAGAACCTAGATTGTCCTCCATTTTAAAATTATCTGGGGCGGCCGTTTAACCTGGTGGTTAAAGCATTCGTTCGTCATGCTGGTTGTTCGAGTGGTTAGTATTACATATGAACCATTCTTGCAATGATTGTAACTGAGGTATTTGTAGACACAAAAGGCTCTATTACACAAACTATCCTTAGCTTACGTTAACCTTACCCACTACGGTTAGATTTGAGCTCACCTTAGTTTTATTCAGTGTGTCAACCTTAATGCTGAGGTTGCAGTCGTAAGGCTGTATGACATCGCATTCTGAAACTACTGTTAAAACACGCCAGTTTAGGATTTTTTGCCTATTTCTAACACAATTGTGAGTGCCGAAACATGAACTGTTACGAAACTATCGCTAAAATTCCACCACATTGTAACCTCCCCTAATTTCTTCATAGCATGCCTGGGGTGGTCGGGTAGCCTTGTGGTTAAAACGTTCGCTCGTCACGCCGAAGACCTGGTTTCGATTCCCGACATGGGTACAATGTGTGAAGCCCATTTCTGGTGGCCCCCATCGTGATATTGCTGGAATATTGCTAAAAGCGGCGTAAAACCTCACTCACTCACTCACTCACTCATAGCATGCCTGCGCGTTGTTTCAAATCTATATTTTATAGGTAAATTTAATTATTCCTAGGTACAACCATATAGCAAGATAAACAAGTAAGATCAGCTCTGCTTCAACTACCAAAACATGAAGCCAATCGCGGAAAGAATGTCATGACATTCTACACGACTACCTATCTGTACGTGATCAAAATTTTGTGCTCATGCCTCGACAGTCTATACCAAAGATCATTTAATTGAGGGTGTCAATGTTCTTTGTATGTAGAAGGGGTAAACATTTCAAACACAGGTAGAAATAGTTTTAATGTGATATTAGCAGTACACTGGCATTAGCACATTGGGTGTTTGTGAAGTGTTAGCATTTTTAAAACAAGGTATGTCGCTTCACAGGAAGTTTTAAAAATACAATAATTCTAAGGTTTTAGCTTAAAGAATTGTTTTCAAGGCCATCGGTCATTATTTGCTTGTTTTCTCAATACACATGCCTCTGAAAATATGATGAAAGATTAGCGTACTCGGGTTTGTCAAGCCTGATACTGAACACGTTTCGCTGCCCCGTCCTTTGGCGACATTGTAGACTACAAAAACTCACATACTCATGTGTTTGAAGGTATACCTTTCCTCTAAGTGGATAGAGCGTCTGGGTGGAAAGCGAAAAGACGTTAAAAGATGGTCCTTGTTACCCTGCCTGGCGCTCATCATTCAGGGGATAAAACAGGGACTGGTCGGCTAAGGGCCAGTATGTATATTGTGAGTAGGGTGTTCATGTTAAGCTGCGGCTTGGTATATCTGTGGGCTGGCACTATAAAGCCTGCATTAGTACGGACTAGTACAAGCAACCACTCGCACGCACGCGCGCCCAGGACTTCTCCCAGGAAGTGCTGCCAAGACGAACCAACCCTGAACTTTTCGGAGAATGTGAAGACTCCCCAACACAGCAGCCTAATGCAGTACCCAGATTGTCAGAAGGGCTGTATTCCCCATAACAAATCCGGGTACTCTCCCAAACCTAAGACGCCGAGAACAATGGGGAGTCGGACAACTTGGCACTTGGGATGCAAGCGTGACATTTCGAAAGCGAGGTCTGCATATTTGTCATGTTTTCCTGAATCTTTTCAACCACATTAGTGTCAAAAAAGGGCAGAACATTTAATACTATTAATGATTTCATTGGATTTATCAAAAAGGACAAGATCAGGTTTGTTAGCCTGGATACGTCGGAGGCTTTATACGGGCCTATTATAAAGACGTTTGTATTTATCATTTTCATGACGCCCTCTACATATTCTGGGTCGTACCATGGATGGGCCTCTGTGTCAAAACCACAAGCACGGCTTCTCCATCATGTCGCTTAAGATACTGTGTTTGTGCCAAAGCTGGGCATCCACTGACAATGTGTTGGGCAGTCTCATTAAATTCATTGCATAATCTACATTTCATATTTCCATTTTGATGCAAATTCACACATTGTGGGAAGTGGGAAGTGGGAAGTGGGAAGTGACTGGTCTTGAGCAGCAAACAGAAACCCTTCGGTTTCACGTTTCTGAGTCTGGGCGGATTTGATATGGCAGTTCCCTGGGGTGACACTCATTTCCGTCAACCATTAACAAAATCAACATTGACATTCAGATTATGTCCCACATCCTTGTCTCGTTTATGAAAACTGTTGAATGCCTTGTTTTCATCATGAGTCTTGGCATGCTTCACAAGAGGATTACCAGAAAAATAAATGTTTGCAAAAGTGCACAAGGCTATTCTATCATGAAGAGCCTCGACGTTAATCAAGCCACGCCGTCCCATTATAACTGGTAAATGTAAGCGATTGAGCGAGGTGGTGGGATCTATTGCCTGATTCTTCCTGAGAGGATGTCAATACCCTGATTTTCTTGTTTCGTCCAATCAACAACACCCTTAAAATACGAAAGGAAGGGTAAGTATACATCATGCATGCCTAAAAATATAAACCAAATAAAATCTTTTCAAAGTAAAAATATTGACTGTCCACAACAACACAGTCCTGAGCAAATCCCACATAGCAAATATCTTTGCAAGGGAAGTCAAATCTTTTGGGGAGTCAATGGTGGTCAATCGAGTGAAGGAAAGTTTGAACGAGCGTGTTTCTTCCAGTAATTACACAGTTGTTATCATTGGCCCTGCTTCATGTACTGTGGTATTCGTTGTTATGCCCTCATTGTAGTGTGGCGGCGGGACTTTCAGAGGCTGGACCGCAGATGTTGAAGTCGTTGAGTAGTCAACGTGTGGAGAACGCGCTGTAGAATTTGTAGAAGGGGGACGGAATTGTCTTGCTCTTAAAGGCGGCCTAATTGGGTTTCCAAAGTCATCTGTTTCTGTTGAATAACCTGGATCAAAATTTGATAACAATTATGGAACCTGGTAAATAATCGAAACTGGTGGGAAGTTTTAAAACGTTACATGTCAGTGAAGGTTTTATGACAACATATAAATCACCAGATTAATCAATAAAAGAAATTGATCACTTGTTCACAAAATCTGACAGTTTCATATAATTTCACAGTTGTGCTAAGCTTATGTATAGTAGTGATCAGAAATGACATGTCTTCACAATAGAAATAAAAATATATGCATTTGTTTTGGAATATTAGATTATATCCATTGGTCATGAGTGTTTCACTTGTTTGATAAGTGGGACTGTTCAGTCCAATCTTGGTCGCAGAAAATAGAAAGTAAGAATTTTTACATACCAGTACTTACAAGAAACGTCTTACAGCTTCTTTTCATCCAAACATTTTACCTAACAGGACCAACCAGTTTTGCCATTGATCCTTATACATACACAGCATTTTGTTTGTTTGTTTGTTGTTTAACGCCGCACTCAGCAATATTCCAGCTATATGACGGCGGTCTGTAAATTAATCGAGTCTGGACCAGACAATCCAGTGATTGACATCATGAGCATCGATCCACGCAATTGGGATCGATGACATGTATCAACCAAGTCAGCGAGCCTGACCACCCGATCCCGTTAGTCGCCTTTTACGACAAGCATAGTCGCCTTTTATGGCAAGTATGGGTTGCTGAACATACACAGCAACAGTATGATCCAGGGAAGTAATCACACGTGTTGAATGTATTTAGTTTCGCTGCACAGCCTCCTTCCAAGTACAACCGATACCCAGCCGACATTATGACCTCCCGATACCGCTGTGCCTTCGATATCCCCACAATTTTGGTGATAAGAAATACAATTATGTAAATTATTCCAAAAGTTGGTTTGATGACGTGTTCATTTATGCATCTTCAGGCAACATCGACACTGTTCTCATGGATTATTTAGACCTGCTCATGTGCAGATATCCGTCCCCAGATTTGCAGCAAATGACAGAAAAGCCCCAATTTGAATTAAAAATGTCCCAATTCCTCATAATTCACAAACTATGAACAGTATATAATCCATTTTTTAACGATATCAAAATTGTCCCCAGTTTCCCTGACCCGTGAAGATCCGGGGTAGAATAAATCTTCAGCAACCCATGCTTGCCGAAAAAGGCGACTATGCTTGTCGTAAAAGGCGACTTACGGGATCGGGTGGTCAGGCCCAATTGCGTGGATCGATGTTCATGTTGTCAATCACTGGATTGTCTGGACTCGATTATTTACAGACCGTCGTCATATAGCTGGAATATTGCTGAGTGCGGCGTAAAACAACAAAACAACCAACCAACAAAACCAGTTTTCATTCTAGAGTTTGGAAACCTAGATGTACCCCTTGTTCTTGTTTCTGTTCACAGGCATAAACATTTCAAAACAGATCCGACCCTGACAATTTTTAAATGCTGAATTCGATTATTGCTAAACTTTTTCTTTTCCGTGGTGCGAACTGACCTGATTACCTACAATGATGTTTGTGATTTTGTCAGGAAAATGTTCGAAATTTTAAAGCAATTTGGTACAAGACTTTGTTAGAAGGTTGGAGTGTTTGGAAATTTGAAATAAAAAATAAATTTATATTAAACGTTAACGCCTACCTATTTTAAAAAAAGTAATGAGAATACTGTATTATCTGTAAATTTAGTATTGATGTGACCTACCTGTGTTTATCACAGCAAGATGACTTGTGTGTATCACGTGACGATGTTGCTTGGATGATGCCCCGCGACAGTAGACACAGCAGCAAGCGATTCCAAACACAAGGATAAGGGGGAGGATGACAGCAAAGACGATTGCAACAATTACTCCAGTTGGCAAACCAACGGATTTACTAAAACAAAAACAAACAACTTCGACCTTGACAAGGTTCGAGGATCCTTACAGTCATATGTGATCACATGAGCTAATGACAGCGTGGATGTATAATGACAGCAATGTGATAACTAAAGAACTAACCAGCGAAGGATCATGACCCTTATGAATAAACATTAGACTATTCAATCTCATGTAGGAGTGGATGGGTATAGTAGCCTAGTGGATATAATATATAGATGGGTACAGTAGACTAGTGGATGTAATATATAGATGGGTATAGTAGCCTAGTGGATGTAAAATATAGATGGGTACAGTAGCCTAGTGGATGTAATATATAGATGGGTATAGTAGCCTAGTGGATATAATATATAGATGGGTATAGTAGCCTAGTGGATGTAATATATAGATGGGTACAGTAGCCTAGTGGATATAATATATAGATGGGTATAGTAGCCTAGTGGATGTAATATATAGATGGGTATAGTAGCCTAGTGGATGTAATATATAGATGGGTATAGTAACCTAGTGGATGTAATATATAGATGGGTATAGTAGCCTAGTGGATATAATATATAGATGGGTATAGTAGCCTAGGGGATGTAATATATAGATGGGTATAGTAGCCTAGTGGATGTAATATATAGATGGGTATAGTAGCCTAGTGGATGTAATATATAGATGGGTATAGTAGCCTAGTGGATATAATATATATTTGGGTATAGTAGCCTAGTGGATATAATATATAGATGGGTATAGTAGCCTAGTGGATATAATATATAGATGGGTATAGTAGCCTAGTGGATATAATATATAGATGGGTATAGTAGGCTAGTGGGTGTAATATATAGATGGGTATAGTAGCCTAGTGGATATAATATATAGATGGGTACAGTAGCCTAGTGGATGTAATATATAGATGGGTATAGTAGCCTAGTGGATGTAATATATAGATGGGTATAGTAGCCTAGTGGATGTAATATATAGATGGGTATAGTAACCTAGTGGATGTAATATATAGATGGGTATAGTAGCCTAGTGGATATAATATATAGATGGGTATAGTAGCCTAGTGGATGTAATATATAGATGGGTATAGTAGCCTAGTGGATGTAATATATAGATGGGTATAGTAGCCTAGTGGATGTAATATATAGATGGGTATAGTAGCCTAGTGGATGTAATATATAGATGGGTATAGTAGCCTAGTGGATATAATATATATTTGGGTATAGTAGCCTGGTGGATATAATATATAGATGGGTATAGTAGCCTAGTGGATATAATATATAGATGGGTATAGTAGCCTGGTGGATATAATATATAGATGGGTATAGTAGGCTAGTGGGTGTAATATATAGATGGGTATAGTAGCCTAGTGGATATAATATATAGATGGGTACAGTAGCCTAGTGGATGTAATATATAGATGGGTATAGTAGCCTAGTGGATGTAATATATAGATGGGTACAGTAGCCTAGTGGATGTAATATATAGATGGGTACAGTCGCCTAGTGGATGTAATATATAGATGGGTACAGTAGCCTAGTAGATGTAATATATAGATTGGTACAGTAGCCTAGTGGATGTAATATATAGATGGGTATAATAACCTAGTGGATGTAATATATAGATGGGTATAGTAGCCTAGTGGATGTAATATATAGATGGGTACAGTAGCCTAGTGGATGTAATATATAGATGGGTATAGTAGCCTAGTGGATGTAATATATAGATGGGTATAGTAGCCTAGTGGATGTAATATATAGATGGGTATAGTAACCTAGTGGATGTAATATATAGATGGGTATAGTAGCCTAGTGGATATAATATATAGATGGGTATAGTAGCCTAGTGGATGTAATATATAGATGGTTATAGTAGCCTAGTGGATGTAATATATAGATGGGTATAGTAGCCTAGTGGATATAATTTATATTTGGGTATAGTAGCCTAGTGGATATAATATATAGATGGGTATAGTAGCCTAGTGGATATAATATAGAGATGGGTATAGTAGCCTAGTGGATATAATATATAGATGGGTATAGTAGGCTAGTGGGTGTAATATATAGATGGGTATAGTAGCCTAGTGGATATAATATATAGATGGGTACAGTAGCCTAGTGGATGTAATATATAGATGGGTATAGTAGCCTAGTGGATATAATATATAGATGGGTATAGTAGGCTAGTGGGTGTAATATATAGATGGGTATAGTAGCCTCGTGGATATAATATATAGATGGGTACAGTAGCCTAGTGGATGTAATATATAGATGGGTATAGTAGCCTAGTGGATGTAATATATAGATGGGTACAGTAGCCTAGTGGATGTAATATATAGATGGGTACAGTAGCCTAGTAGATGTAATATATAGATTGGTACAGTAGCCTAGTGGATGTAATATATAGATGGGTACAGTAGCCTCGTGGATGTAATATATAGATGGGTATAGTAGCCTAGTGGATGTAATATATAGATGGGTACAGTAGCATAGTAGATGTAATATATAGATGGGTACAGTAGCCTAGTGGATGTAATATATAGATGGGTATAGTAGCCTAGTGGATATAATATATAGATGGGTATAGTAGCCTAGTGGATATAATATATAGATGGGTACAGTAGCCTAGTGGATGTAATATATAGATGGGTACAGTAGCCTAGTGGATGTAATATATAGATGGGTACAGTAGCATAGTAGATGTAATATATAGATGGGTACAGTAGCCTAGTGGATGTAATATATAGATGGGTACAGTAGCCTAGTGGATGTAATATATAGATGGGTACAGTAGCCTAGTAGATGTAATATATAGATTGGTATAGTAGCCCAGTGGATATAATATATAGATGGGTATAATATGTGAAGCCATTTTTTGGTGTCTCCCAATCGTGACATTGCGGCCAAACAACCACCCACTCAGCCACTCCAAATTATGTGCCAATATATATCATTTTTTAAAACTCCAAATCAAATCCAACAGATACCGGATAACTTAAAATAAAAAATATGTTTAAATATTCATAGCATAGTTCGTCTGCACCTCCGGATGAATTTCTTTCCCCTTTTCAGTTTAAAGAAAGTGAAAGATTTGTTAAAATCTGACGATGCAGTTGCAATGTAAGGCTAAATTGTGTCCTCAATAAAGGACTATGATTCTTTACACTTTTCGAAAAGGCTCTCTGAACGACTTCCCAAAATGCTTCCTGGACGACTCTCTGGAATTGTTCAGCCGTGTTCTTGGGCGATATTCAAGAAGACGGGCCTGTTTGGATTTCCACCAATTTCTCGCACAATCCTCTGGAATTCAGCACGTTATTCAACTAACCTCAGCCAAATCTGAGACCACGGAAATATATCGAACTCTGTTTTAAGCTATTTCCTGGCACGGTCAGCTTTTACAGATGTAATTTCACCAAGGTTTGGTAATATTTGACTTTCCAGAAGTTTTACCAATAGATGTTTTAGAAATAGCTATTATCTCAGAAGTAACATTATCATGGGCGGTATCAATATAATATATACGTTCAACTGTTATATTATTAGCCTTATTGCTTGCATTCTGGTTTTAAGTGGTGTTTTCGTTCCAAGGGTTTGGAAAGGACGAGTTAGTCTTGTTCTGCGTGATTGGATGAATCTATGGATCAACATCCCCACAAGTTTCAATTTGGCTAAATAAGCCTCTATTTGCAAATAACAGCTATAATAAACCTAAATTGAGTATACAATAGTATTATCTATGCCAAAAATGACACTATAAGCGTGGTTAGCTCAATCAAAACCAGCTACTGGAGAGGATATGCGAAACACGGGTCTGCAGCCAAGCTGTTCTCTCCTTGGTATGGAGTGATGTCCCTTGTATTCCTGTCGGCAGTCGTTGTTAGGAAAGCAGCGTCTCGTACGTAACATGCTAAGGATTGTATAAGAACATGTTTAGGGCACCCCCGAGACCCAGCGGCCGAGAGAGCCCTGCTGTCATCTTGCTGTCACCTTTACTATATTTCGAGCATATTTGAACCAGAACTATATTACGTTGATCCAGCCGTGAACATCCTCGATTAATAAGTGTATTATATATTCATTCTATTGTGATACATACACTGGAACCCTTAAACAAAAAGCAGCTACGTTTTGAGTCGGATTCAAATGAAATAAATTCAGTTATCCGATAAATTTACATTCGTGTAATAGATCAATTCTGTGCCGAGTTCGAATGTAGGCAACGCTTCTTGAACGAAGCTTTGGTTACGGAAGCATCCGGGGTATTTGTCATAATACATTGGAGATACACTGGAAACTCGAAGATGAGCCGTGGACAGACTGGAGGACTGTCGATAGAGTGTGCTTTGTATTGTATAGGATCAACTGGTTTACATATTACTTGAGTTTCAAACGAAGAGGTAGGATAAGGGCTCTTGTTGGCCTTATGGAAAGCTTCAGGAATCCTTATAAATATTGGTATAAAAGTTATTAGACCTGTTATAAAGCCTGTCAGCTAATCTTTTCGCATACTTATAGTTGGACGTTTTGGAATTCTGGCATGAGAAACTACACAATAATGGCTAAAATGAGTGAAAAAGGCATATAAGTTTTATTCAAATGTTGGAAAAAATGAAACTCGAAAAGCGTTGAAGTCAGTCTTTTTTGATATAGTATAGCCTTACCAATACATTCAGCGTTTAAAGTCATGAAGGGTACAAATAAATAAAGTGTAGTTCTCATTCATTTGACCATTTTAGAAAACTTATATGAATATTTCTAAATATTTCGCTCATTTCGTATCAAGGGCCCTTATAATGCTATCTTGCCACACACGACAATGAATGCACCAGCACCCACCTTGAGGAGTCGCAACAAAACTGTCTGTATCTGAGTGAGCCACAGCAACCACGAGGACATGACAGGGGTAGACCAGCCTCATCTTTGCAATACGCTGTCGTATAGGCTAAAACACAAAGAAAAAGGATACCTTATATAGTGAGACCCTATTCATCCGTAAGATTGCGTTCCCAGTGAATCCGTCCGGATTAACAAGTGCCCGGATTAACGAATAAGGGGTACGTACATGTAATAATTATACATATATGTTCCTAACAAAGATCTTCCGGTAAGTGAATTATCCAAATTACCGGATGCAAGTACCGGATTGACGTTCATGTAGTAATTACCGTATTTACACTATTAGACGCAATGAATCCAATACACATCGTTGTCTAATATGAAGTCGTGTCCATCTCTTGATAAAGTTAATTATCCCAATCACATTTACTTAAACTGCGTAATTCCGTATCTCCACGTGCCTTTGTATACGGAATGTCACGGGTACACGTTTTGTTTGTTTGTTGTTTTTTGTTGTTGTTTTTTTGTGTGTCTTTTTTGGGGGGAGGGGTGATTCGGTGAGGAATAGCTATCACTGTGCCTGCGTTAACCAGAATTTCGTCAAGACATTACGTGTGAAACTATACAGTTTAAAACATCTTATTTGCCTATAATTTTTACCATTGATAAGGTCATTCAACAGTGGATTGCTCATCTTTCATCGGTTCTTCATTCACATATTCACCCTTTTACACACGTGTACATATCATCCGGCCCAGCGCTTCAATAAAATCTTCACTGTGGATAGTCGCACAAGGGAAGTAACTCCGAAGTCCTCCGCCTCTTCCGGAAATAACGCTCTTACAATACAGCAACCGTTCGATCTTATTAGATTGTTTTTTTAATTTTTTTTCTTCCGTCCGCTCACTCTGAAGATGCAGATGGAGATCCGAAACACATTATAATGTCGATGTTCTGATACTGAACTGCTATTTTTATTCATTACTGCTACGCGACGGTATTTCACAAACGATAGATCATCATTCATCAATATCCTATACCTTGGGATCAGAAATGCGTTTCTGGGTCGTGCCATGTTTAGCCATGGTTGGCTATAGTCCTTGGTTTGTTAGTGGTAAACGTCCAAGACTTGATTCACTTTCTCCGTTACCCATCGAGGTGATAAACCGTCATATGTCTGAAATAGTGTTTGAAACGGCACAAAACAACAACTGACAATTCTACCACACGTGTATACTCACAAATAGTTTTTAAAGTGAGAAATGTGAAAACAATCAGCGATGATTTCATAGCCGTATCGATCCACGAAATGTAATGGCTGCAAACATACAACCGGGGTATTCTCCACCGACAGGTATTATCCGACTGCTCACATCCTATGTAGGTCAAGCTATTGCGACAGGTCCGCCTGGAATGGGCTCACATTTGTCCGGTCGAAACATTGTGTTGACACAGTGAGCTGGACTACCTTATCAGGTGAGGTGAGGTGAAATGTGGTTAACGTCGCGTTCAAGATTATTGCACTTACATAGCGGTGTGTGTGTGTGTGTGTGTGTGTGTGTGTGTGTGTGTGTGTGAGTGCTTGTACAAATCCAGACTAATGCCGATTTTATAGTGCCATCCCACTGAGATACCGTGCCGAAGTTGAACATGAAAACCCCCCTCAGACACTGTATAGGAGCCGACCAGTCCTTTTTAAACCCCTTCACCCCCAGGCAGGGTAACAACAAGTACCATCTTTTAACATCTTAGGCATAAATCCGGAGTAATACAAGCAGCGACACACACACACGTGCATGCACATCGCAATGTGACTGAAATCATCTTAAACGTTACCTTAAACCCTATTTGACATCACCTCACTTCACCTCTGATAAGGCCTTCCATATTTGTTTCTCATCTCCAACCTAACCCGGCTAGAGAATGGGCGGGCGAATTTATTCAGTGAAATTTTAGAGTTCCTACACTTCCAAATAGTCCTTATATTAATTTATGACGTAGACCGAGTCGCCTTGCTTAAAATACAGCTGAAAGATCAAGCTCACCTGTTTATTTAGTGTGCAATTGTTTAAGTATTGTTTTTATCACATTAGGGCATAAATTTCCACAGCGACGGGGAAAATTAAGATGAGAACACTATTTATTATTTCGCGTTGGAACGAAAATTCAGGGTGGGCGGGAGATGGGAAACACACACAAAATACGGTCAGCCTCAGTGGGAACACGGGAGGCATAGCCGTATAATTTGATGTACAGAGTTGCGTCCCTTGGGCGTTCCGGAATCCTGTGATCATGGACTAGAATCCCAGAATCGCCATGATTATGATTCCTTGTTTGTTAGCACCACACCCGTGCTGATGATTTAAATATCTAGGACCTGCATCACTTCGGACATTCCTCCAACATTAAGTGGACACGCCGTGATGTAACTGAAGCGCTGATAAAATACTGACCCCTACCAGTTGTTCACTTTATCAACCAGTACTAGGCGTGCCATATTCGTGTTATTAACATAATTAAAGAACATGCTGGAAGGGACGAGGAGAAAGAACACTAAAAGGAACTAATGTGCGGTTGTGATGACAACGGAGGACCAACAGAACTTCCCGCATTACTGTAACAAAGACTTGAGGCAGCTACAGGGGCGACAGGGCAGCCTCGTGGTTAAATACTTCGCTCGTCATTCTGCGGATTAGGGCTGGATACCCCAAATTGGTAATTTGCTAAGATCGTTGTTGGTGACCTCAGCCGTGAATTGGACGGAATATTGTTATAAGCAGCATAGAATCATATTCACTCAGGCGTTCGATGAGCTATGAGCCAGCAAACGTTTGACCAGGAATCATCAAGTACAGGTTTGCCTCATCGAATGACTTCATGATTAAACCTTGACTCAATGTTTGACCAGGAGACACAATGCCAGGATGACCTCATCGTACGACTCAATAATTACCCCTTGACTCAATGTTTGACCAGGAAACATCAAGTTCAGGTTGGCCTCATCGTATGACTCCGTAATTACCCATTTGCTCAATGTTTGACCAGAAGACACAATGTCAGGTTGACCTCATCGTATGACTCAATAATTACCCCTTGACTCAATGTTTGACCAGAAGACACAATGCCAGGTTGACCTCATCGTATGACTTCATAATTACCTCTTGACTCAATATTTGAACAGAAGATACAATGCCAGGTTGACCTCATCGTTTGACTCCATAATTACCCCTTGACTCAATATTAGACCAGAAGACACAATGCCAGGTTGACCTCATCGTATGACTCAATAATTACCCTTTGATGCAACGTTTGACAAGGGTTAAATTTACAGGTCACCGACTGAGCTCGATCTCGCGTGACGTGATGTCATGTTTCACACTTGTTACAAGATGAGGCAATGCCGGAATAACTATACTATGACATTTTTTCATATAAAACTTGGTCCGTTGCCACCATATTCACCGGTTTCTTTGGCCCACATAAATACGCTGACAAGACATGGTATTAATAAAACTCTGCTGAATGTTTATGGACAAGATTATATCTTCTGATGAGATTTCCTTAGCACGATTGGACAAAACAGTGTCTTAGTGAACGCTGTTCAACGCAGCAGTCAGCAGTCAGCTCTATCGCAGCGGCATGTAAATACCGAGCGTGGACCATACAAACAAGAGGTTGATATGATGAGCAGCATCGGCGTACGATGACGCGCTATGAACCAAGTCGCCGCGTCTGATCATCCGATCACTGTTTTAGTCAGCTCTTACGACAAGCGTGAGTTATAATCGACAAAGAATACCCACAGGTAGAATAGCTAACATGATGAACATGTATCCACAGTAAGTTTGTTATGACGTACACTTTGCTTCTTACATTTTCTAGATTAACAGCAATGACACAACAAGTGATATCTTCCAATAGATACTTCGGTTAAGAAGCGTATTGAACTCTGTTGTGATGGCTGTCAAGACATTAACATGAAGGCTATAACATTCCTTATAACTCCATGTTCTTTAATGATTCACAATATTTCCAGGTGTTTTCTCTCATTGTGAGCCAGTTTGCCACCATTGATCTAGCTAAGTTCCCGAGGGAACGACCATTTGATATTGTGATGTTTGATAATTGAAAAAACAGTTGTTCCAGGAAATACTAAGAAAATAATTTTCCTTACGTAACAAATTGATCACTTGATATGCAGTATCTCCGGTTGTGCACGAAACATCTTCCGTCTCCTACAAACATGATGAATATACAAAAGGTATTTGTTGTAAACAATTCATCACGTTAAATAGTCTTCATTTTGAGCATCGTTCCACCATGTCTACACCATCATGTTAAAAACAGTCCTGCAGCATAATAACATCACTCCTTTACATATAGTTGTACATGTGTCTCCTGTGGTTGATCGGTGGTCATGCACGGTTCATAGGACGGAGGTGATGAAGTTGTCTGTGACAGAGATGCTGCTCCTGTGTAGGTGTATGTTCCAGCTGCTGAAACACTGTAGGGCGGAGGAGGTGGTACCGTGCATGTCGGTGGTGAGAAGAAGATGGCAGATGTCCCTGGACCTGCGTAAGCGTGTCCCAAGTTGTGGATCCTTACAGGCGGACCTGTGACAGACAGTTAAACATTGATCATCGCACAATTATCATAAATTAGTGTACATTAACTCAAATTATGATTATAGAGATGAGATAACTTTAGGTTTGCAGTATTTTTGTCACAAAGAAGTGCCTTGAGCGATATGGCTAAGATTGACTCAAGTAATAATTCGTAAGTTGAGCTAACACGAGGTTAAAAAAAACCTGTTGAAACTTTTCAAAATATATACACCAATCAAGAATAATTTCTCATTGTCTAGTGATGAGCCAACTGAATCAACATACAATGTCTGAAGACAATTTTGTGGTGTTACCCGCCGTAATATTGCTGGAATATTACTAAAAGTGGTGTCAAACCATTGTATTGACAGGCTGGACACAAGACATGAGTCGATCTTAAACGTAATATCTCGACTTGACTGAGTTCGAGTCCCGGGGTTTCACACAGAACATTGTGTATATGACGCATTTGATTAAACATTTTGTGTTACCATTGACTAAACAGGTAATGTCAGTAACGCTAATATTTCGGGGGGGGGGGGGGGGGGGGGGGGGGGTGTGCTCCAAATCCGTTGTATGAAGTTGCCTGCCTTAGCCGTGTCAGGATCCGTTTACCTGAGGAATGATATATGAAGATAAGTGAAAAGCATGTATGACCCGCGTCACTGGGTTTCCCCTACATTAAGCCAACTCAAAAAGTGTTGTTCAAAGCGACGCGAACTTACCCCGACTTCTCTTTGGTGTTCGAGATAAAAACAGGCAGCAATGCACTATCCCAGCAGCAACAAGGATCAGGATGACGACTCCCAGTGCGACTCCAATGGTCCATGCGACATGGTTGCTGAAAATATTAATATAAATGACAGGTAGTTCCGAGTTTTAACTGTTCCACGATGCCAGAGACGATATGCTTAATCCGTCGTTGACTGATGGTCTGGGTTGGAATACCGTACAATAATGGATTATGGTATGTTTTAACTTGAAATGATTCCAGAATACAGGGAGGAACATGCCTCAAATCAGTGTTTGTTAAGACATGCTGAATGTCCTAAAATATTAATTTTTCGTTGGTCCCTATACAGTAATGCAGAAAACAACGACCTAAGACAACAAAACAGAAAATCCGTGCCGTGCAGATACATACAGGCATGTGTTGTGATAGGAAAAAACGTTATGCACTATGAATTCTATTGTTTGTGGTTCCAGTGGCAATATGGTTTTCGACATAAACGCTGCATATACAGGTGTATGTAAACTGACAGCCAGAAGAAACACAAGCACTTGTATGTAATTACTAAAATTAGAATAAACAAGTTAAACCTAAATCAATGCAAAATACACACTGTTCAAACATAACAATGCTCTATGCAAAACGTGATACACGCCAACGTCACATATTTGTTCAGGAAAGTGCGAAAAAGTTAAGAACACGTGCCACTTGGGCAGCCGAAAATACATGTGCCATAAGAGTATTTAAATGATATGGACGAAATGTCAGAAACTCACACTGATAAAACACCACAGAAATGCCACGACTAACACTTGAACAAGAGCGGGCCCGGGGTATGGTACGAATGAGAGACACCCATGCCCATATTGCTAGAGCTTTTGGTTGCTCCCGCGTTGATGCAGCGTGACTGACAGACAGGGCAGATATCAGACATGCCAAGAACAAGCAGGGTAACTACGCCCAATGAAGACCGGCACTTGCGTGCTTTGCATCTCCGAAATCGATTCCTGACAGTGACGTCATCAACAACGAATGCCTTAGGGCATATGGTTAGTGGACAGACAGTGGCTAGGCGACTCAGAACTCAAGAAATTAGGGCTTCCAGACCTTACAGAGGACGGTTATTGATAGCGCAACATTGATGAAAGACAGCACGTTTACCGCCGAAGGGTACAACGGACGGCGGCATGTTGCGTTCATGAGGTCGTGCCTTATGGTGGAGCAGGTGTTGGGAGGAATTTGAAGGCAGGGTGGAACACCGCTGGTCATCGTTAACGGAAATTTGACAGCTTAGCGTAACATCGATGAAAATTGTCCGATTGTCCAACCATTTATACAATAGCTGCCACGTGTTGCCCTTTATCAGCATGGCAACGCCAGGCCCAATACAGCCCGACTTGTACAGAACTTCCTTGCAGCTAGCAACATCAACGTGTTGTCGTGGCCTGCGTTTTTCCCAGACATGCCCCCAATGCAACACCTCTAGGATGTCATGGGTCGTCGTTTTCGACAGCGACCACATCCTCCAGTCGACAGACAAGAACTGATCCTGGGCCTCAGAGAAGAATGGCGATGTATCTTACGTGACGTCATCAAACGGCTGACGTTTTCGGTGCGCCAGAGAGTTTTTGTGTGTCTTGTAGCAGGGGGTGGTCAAACACGCTATTTATGTGACTTGTCATTGCCATTTTAGATGTGTGAGCGCTTTGTCACTCATTGAAAGCTTGTTTTGCCACCTCACCTCAATTCGGGCAACTGTCATGTCAATATCAGATGCTGTATGATTGTCATTTCAAATGACTCACCCACCCGATCGATCGATCCCTCGATCAATCAATCAAGCAACCACTCAAGCAAGCAAGCCCATGGACTTGTGCATTTGGTGAATGAAACTACACCCACCTTGAATTACTGCAACAATGTCTGGAGTGCAACTCTCCACAGCATTCGCCAGGGCAGGTAATAGTCAAGTGATGTCCATCATCATCTACTGAAGGGCAGACTTTGTGGGCATATGCTGAAAGTCAATTATCGATTATCACAGTGATCATATTGGTCCCTGCCAAATGAACTACTACATTATGGAGTTTGCAGAAGTATACAGAACTTCAGATGCCTTACAGAGGTAGAACATTAAGATACTGATATACAGTAAAACGATAAGCTTTGCATAAATCCACTACACGCTTTTGTAACGCATAATGTTTTGAAGTAATTTCTGGGACAAATAAGTCAACAATACTTACTTCAGATCATTAAACCACCCTGGACAAGAATCAGTGACATTGACCAGCGCAACAATGCAACACAAGCGAAGAAAGAAGCCCGCTGGTGGGCGTAGCTTAATCAGGTTTTAGATTCATGTAAACATTAACTCAAAAAAGTTGTGCATGTGAGCCTTTCACTGGATAAACGAGAGCTTACAGCTTTCGTGACCAGACATGTGCGAGGCAGTGGTTTATTTCAAACCCACAACATACGTAAAGGAACCAACCAAGGAATAAAATACAAAAGAAAAATCTATGCACACATCAGTTTATTAACATATAATGCCAAACCAATACAATCGTTGAATCACGCCTCGACCACGTGGAAAAATGGCCGCTCATCACGGAGTGCACAATCCGTGATTAAAAAAAAGGCAGGTAGGATCACTCACCTGGCGGTGCACCTAAGCACACTCAAAACAACGAGCCACAACTATGCATATCTTTCAACCGTATTACAATATCCCAATTAATATACCTGGCGTATTGCGTGAACCCTAACTGGTTCTTGCCATTTCACTCCATCAACACGTGCTGAGCACGACCACTGACCGCTTGGGTGAAAACCAGCTGGGGTCGGAAACATTACACAAACAAAGTCAAACTACAATACATATCTGACATTTGCTGTACAGTGAGTAAGAGAAAATGACTACCGTGAGGCTGACAGCCCACAAGAAATAGCCAATTGAACAGTATACTACTACTGCGTAGTTGACCCCCGGGCAAGCTTCTCTCAGACTGTCGTAAACACCAGGGGAGGTAACTCATCACACCCGGAAACTTGCTGCTCCCGCTCAAACTGTCCCCACACATGGTTAAACACAACCAAATGTTTCCCAATAGACTTAAATTGTAACGTTATATTATTTGAAAAAAATAATTAAGCATTCAACAGTTAAGTCCTGTACGTGTGTGCATAGTTTGGCCTTAGAGCAGCAATAAAACGGCACAGTCACAACTGGTTCTGATTTAGATCCAACCTGTTATCAACGAACACATCGCCGTCCCTTCGGGAAGATACTAAGGATGTTGACAGCAACATGCCACACATCGGATTTCGTCACACTTGCATACCCAATCAAATGCCATGAAATCACGTGCAGTCTATTGGATGAATTTCTGATTTATGACACATGTCAATACATATATAACATATACCTTTTATATCCGTTTAATTTATGAAAATGTCACAGGTTCTAGAATCCTTATTACATCTTGAAAGAAGCAAAGGGTATACAGTAATAATCGTCTTCAGGGCGAATATGGAATTCGAGCTCAACATAAGTAGATCCTGGCACGGCTAAGGGACAGAACTGTACTACACAGCGCACTTCCGCCATGTCCCCAAAATATGTGTATGAATCATAATTCTGGTCATAAAAACGTGCGTGTTACGCATTCAATAAGTACTTTCACTCATGCTAAGGTGGAAATGGAACATAAACCCAAGTCCAGTTTTATGTTTGTGAAATGCACAAAATAGTAATAGAAATGTATAGAAACGCACAGAGACGCATTGAAGGAACACTGTTCACTATTTACATCATTCATTTAAGCACGTCTCAGAAACGCAGTCGTGCACGTGCATCGCAAATTACAGGAACATCGTTCATTTCCCCCTTGCCCATCCTTTACAAGCCACCACATTAAAAACACCATTCACACGCGAAGGACAGACAACAAGAAAACATCATCAAAGGAACCCCCCCCCCCCCCCAGGTATTTCAGCAGGACAACGCTCGTTCCCATACAGCACGTACGGGTCTCCATGCACTTCCTCAGAGTGAATAACATTCCTGTGATACCCTGGCCGTCTTTGGCACCGGAAATGGCTCCAATTGAGAATGTTTGGGACGAGATTGGGAAAGGTCTTCAGGGTGCAAGGCAGCCACACACAACTGGAAGTCGTTTTGGTGCGGGAATGGAACGGGATTCCTGACGCCTTCTTCCAAAGACTTGTCTGAGACGGTGATGTGCGGCCTGTATCGCAGCTAACGGAGGCCGCAAACGCTACTGGTTGACACATTGACACTGGTCATTTTTCTGTTTGGGGGTTACCCTGTTTTCGGGGGGATGTTGCAATTAACACGAACGGTTGTCATCGAACAATCAACACCCATTTGATATCAAATGTTTCCTCTGTCATCATTTCTGAATATTATCTACATATGGTCTTAACGTTATACGTATTTTACGTACAACCTGCATATATATACATCTTCAATAAAAAGAAAGGCACATGTTGATTTTTAGTAAATAAATTGTACCTAATACCTATATTTAATTTAATATCATAGATACAAATGTGAAATTTTGGAGCTCGATAGGCATTGAAAACTGTTCATTGTCATGCCACATAAGGTTGCGCTGAACTAAGTATCTCGTGTGACCGCCGCGGGCAGCAATTCTGTCCTGCGGAATTCTGCGCCATTCTGCTTGTAACGCGTTGGCCAGTTGTGGGAGTGTCTGCGGCGTGTTCTGACGTTGACTTACACGTCGATCGAGTTCATCCCAGAGGTGTTCGATTGGGTTGAGATCTGGAGATCTCGACGGCCAGGGCAAGGCGTTGATGTTGGCATTATGAAGGTTGTCTACCGTGTTACGAGCTGTGTGCTGACGAGCGTTGTCCTGTTGAAACAGCTCCCTCTTGCGGGAAGAAGGTGAGGTTGAAGAATTTGATTCATGTAGCGATTTGCTGTCATATTTCCCTGAACCACAACCAAGTCATATCTCCTGATGTAGGATATGGCCCCCTACACCATGACACTACCGCCACCGAATTTGTCGAATTCACGTACACAATGTGGGGCAAAACGCTCATTTCAACTACGATAAACACGTTGTCTTCCATCTCGCCGGTGAAGAAGAAATCATGATTCATCGCTAAACCACACTCGTCCCCAGTTTCTCAAATTCCAAGGCTGAAAGGCAAGCGTCGCTGTCGATGGATCTGTTGCAAAATAGGGACGATAACTGGTCTTCTAGGTCGGATTCCAGCCTCGCGAAGATGGTTCCTGACAGTCTGGTCCGATATCCTCCTCAAACCAGGGATGCGTCCTGCAGTCTCCGTAGCCCGTGGCATTGTGATGACGTAGGTGGAACAGTGGAATGTAGCGATCCTGTGCAGGGGTGGTAACTCTTGGTCGGCCGGTTCTCGGACGGTCTGCAGTGGAATTGAACTGTGTGTATCAGTCACAAAGGCGGCAAATGCTGCTGTGGTGGAAGTTGAAGTGGCGTGCAACAAAAGACTGCGATTCCCCTCTTTGGATACGTCCTATGGCGATGTTCCGATCGGCAGCGCTGAGTCTCGGCATTTTCGAACTTGAAACATGTTGACAATTGAATGACAACTTAGTGGCTTATGCTTGCCGTTTTATAGGCACTACCACGAGTTACGTATGCCATAACTTGCACGTGCATTTTGCTTTACTGTTTTTGTCCATGACATTTTTTAACAAGTGTGAAAACAGTGCCGTTTATGACATTGAAAATCGACAATGGCTGCGTTTTGACGCACCGTTTGTCGAATATCAGGCCACCAACACTTCCCAATAACATATATCCAATTTATATACCAGATTTTTTGTGTAGTTTTTTTTGTAGTAGGGTCAATGAACTACATACTACTTTCTTTGGAAATATATATATAAATATATATATATATATATATATATATTGGGGGTATGACTACTCACACACGGTGGTTAAGCACAGAACGACCAATCCAGCTAGAAACATCTTCTCGGGGGTAGAAATCCAATAAAATACCCGGGGTTTTCTTTAAATAAGTTCACAGATTCATCTGGCACATCTATGACGAGTCCTCGTCTCGGTTTACAATACATATGGTGAATAGGGTCAGATCCGTTCAAATCGTCAATACGTTATTGCAATCACATCTACACTACATAGGTAACACATACAAATGAGTCCTGTGCCATACAATGCCTCACACTTGATGTCTTGTCAGGTATTCACAGTGTGGGACGCGTTCATACGTTGCATACATGATAATAGCAATGTGCTTACGTTTGTACCGAACTGAGTTTATACTTTTCATATACTCAAACTCAAAAGTAACTAATAATAACTGATAACTGAAAATTAAGAATAATTAATTATCATTAACTATATGGCTGTACAGATCTTTTTAATATGTACGCAAGAATCTAATTCTGAGACACGCCAGCTAATGGAGTACCGCTGCCGTCGTAATTCGTATGAATGGTAAAGAGAAGGTCTCTTTTCATTTTCAACTTTATTTCATCTTAAATGGGGAATGCAATAACCACATCTGTGAACAAAATAACAAAAAAACTTGAATTTGAAATTTCATATTCATGTAAATCTTAAGCAAGCATATAGAATCCATCTTCAGCCCAAATAAGCACTTTCCATTTTAAATCTACGAGCATTGAGACATACTATTATACATAATTTTACCAGTTGGTAATAATGTTCTATATAGTTTGGGCCAGCTGATCGTTAACCAATAAAACATTGAATTCGGGACAATTAACAACGTCATTGTTTTTGCCTTTGATTATGATAAAAGTTTCCAAAGGATTTGAGGGGTCACAACTCACTTAATAACGTCATCATCGGATGCGACCGTTTACGTTGATTCAAGCGAGGCAGTGACAGCGTATTGAAGTCACCAGATGAAATAATGTGTAAGAATTATAGTAACGGAAAAAGTAACTGTGCTTCATATTAGGTGGTGTAAATGTTATATTATTATATGACGGCGCATTGAAGATATCAGACCAAAGAGTGGGCCAACTGAGCTGATGTTACCGGCTGGTTCTGTTCCTGTCGTAGGCGTCCTTCACCCTCATCCCAGGCATGTTCTATGAGGGAGAGATCTGTCGCATCAGCCGGCAATAGCAGTACAGCAATGGCATGCTGGCTCAAAAAATCTGTTACAAAACTTACACCATGTGGTCGAGCATCATACTGCTGCAACGTGGCGTTACGTACCTGCATTTGCACAAAGGGTACAACATGATCTCGAACGATGTCTCCCCGGTAGCGTGCGCCAATCAAATTGACATTAACAATGATGAGTGTTCTCCAAAGAGTTGTGATGCCACCCCATACCATTACACCTCCACCCAGAAACTGACGTCGTTGAGTAACGTCCCTAAAACGTTCTCCTAAACGCCTGTAGAACCTTGCATGACCATCAGAGCTGCACTCACCTGTGAACGATATACTGTCCCAGTCTTATCTTCTGAACCGCAGATGCCAGGCGAGCCTGAAGGTGACGTGGAAGCAAAATTGGGCGTATCGTTTGACGTCAGGGCCAGATGTTGTGTTCCTTCAACCGGATGCTAACGGTTCTGCCACTAATTAGATTCCAACCAAGAATTGTCCGAGCTGGCTACGTGGCAGTTTGGTACCGATTTCGTAGATGCTCTAACAGTGGCTTAAATAACTGTATGAACTATGATTGGTTTGAAGGTTTAGCTGTATTTTGTAAATGTAGCAGTTTCTGATAACACGCACACTACGGTTCATATTCCTCACAGAAAATTAATTACATTGAAGCCCATGTGTGTGTGCTCGCGTGCGTGCGTGCGTGCGTGTGTGCGTGCGTGCGTGCGTGCGTGCGTGCGTGCGTGTGTATTGCAATAGTGAATCGCCATTGCAGGGCTTAGGTACACGAACGCACATCGGCTCAACACATGACAAACCTAATGTACGATCTTAAGCTCTTAATGAGATGATAATGACTTACTTCCGTTGCCAAATTCAGCCAATAGATCAATACATATGAATACATTTATAATGTGTTTGTATCAGTAACTAAATGTACACGTAAAATTCATTTACATATAATTCCACACAAACATTCGACAAGTTTCCAATGAGGAGACAGAGCGTGCGCGCCTCCGAGTATCCATGGTGATGAAGTAACACATGTACTACTTGAAGCTTTACAAAGTATAGCCTCGTGAGTGAGTGAGTGGATATGGTTTTACGCCGCTTTTAGCAATATTCCAGCAATATCACGGCGGGGGACACCAGAAATGGTTTTCACACATTGTACCCATGTCGGGCATCGAACTCGGGTCTTCGGCGTCCAGGCTACCCGACCGCCCCTGTAGCCTTGTGAACTGATCCATGAAATGTGCAACACCAGTCATCCTGAAGCTGTGTCAGAACCAAGTATGACTGTATTGTCTCATTGAGGAAATCAAAACCGTGTTTATCTGACACTTCAGAACGGGAAGACGTTCTAGATTTCACAGTACACAGCAATGTTTCGTGGGTTTTTTTAGATTTAAAGTTGAATACATTTAATAATTATGATCATATTATGGAAAGTGTTATTTATACGATAAATCAATCTGATAACCTTGTATCACGACGTGATAAATATACAACTTGCCCAAGTACTTTCAGTAACCTCTTTCATCGATGCAATGCCCTTGTTCAATAAATTATTGACTTTCGTTCCTAAGCTTAGGCAGGGGTTTCCCAATGTGTTTTATTTCTCTTAGGTCATTTGGTACTGTATGATAAACATTGTATTCATACGCGGTTTGAACAGCTGCTTTATTCAATGAAATAACGTCCTAGACATTCATTATTTTTAGAATTTCATTCTTTGATACAGAGAGTATCACCCTTGTGCGTTTCGTGTAGTATAAGGCTCGCATACTATAATTTGTATTCGTAAAATATATTATTTACGATACGGAAACACACTCTAATAATAATAAAAATCTATCCTTATTAAGTACATAATATATAAATATTGACTACACTGGCTCCCACATATAAGTAAGACTAATATGAACTTTACGTCAAATGCATGTACTTGCAATTTGAGTGTGCATTCCAACATTGTTTAAAATGTAATACATAAGGCCATAAGGCAAAATACTTCCTCCGTCATGTTGTGCAATTCATTAAAGACCTGAGTAAAACAAGTACTCGAGCGGGGAGGTCAATACATCCCAGTGACTTAAAAATCCATTCTCGGGGTACAGAATCATATAGAATCATTCTGTAGTCTTTCCAACACACTGAGACTTCAAGGATAATGTTTGTAACGTACATCACTTTCTGGCTGCATGTGGATGACCCGTGTGACGTTAATGAGGAAACATATGCAGCTGAAGTGATCAACTGATCGTGGATCATGGATTATGGTTGTTCTTATGCTATCATATTTGTTTAAATGGGAAAGATTTATTTTGTGCTTCACATTACTTTCGTGTACAGTGTCAATAATAATCTATTTAAATACTTCCTTAACCAGTTTCCTATTCGTCATATAAACAATAGAACAATGGAACAATACATAAAGTAAATAATAGAAAAACAAATGGCGAATGCACAATATGTTTATACGGATATATTTCACATATAGAAGAGTTGAACTTTTCCAAAACAAAAGACCGTGTCTCCTTGTCGCCATTTGAAGCATAAGGCGCCATTTGAAGCATAAGGCGCCATTGTTATTTGTTATTTAACAATAATAATTACCAACTTTGAAGAACATTCGGAATCATTTAGAATCAATAACAGATAATTTAAGATTGATCGTATAACTGCAATCTTCAGTCCAGTTTCAGAAGCTATTTATCTCATGAGATGATGAGATACTTTAAGGCTTTCTGACATCTGGAGGAGAGCACTGGTCTATTATTTGGCTGGTATGTTGCTCGGTCGGTGCTGCTGCGTTGATGCCGTTGTTGCTGCTGTGTTGATATATTCCTGAAACACAAACTATCTTAATGTGAGCTAGCTAGTAACTTGAGTTTAACGCCAGGTCCCACCTGCACAAAGCTATCTTAGCCATACGTCCATCTTAAGTCTATTGATGCCATTGTCAGCTATCTTGTAGTCAATCAGTAATGTCATCGTCAGTTATCTTGTAGGTTGTCATTGATGCTATTGTCAGCTATCTTATAGGCAATCATTAATGCCTTTGTCAGCTATTTTATAGTCAATCAATAATATCACAGTGAGTTATCTGATATCATCATTTGCCATTGTCAGCTATTTTATAGTCAATCATTAATATCATAGTCAGTTATCTGATATCATTAATGGCATTGTCAGGTGAGAAGATAGATACATTTGAATTATTTCGAACACTGATCATTCAAACAATATAAATTCAATGCCGAAGGGCCATAACTCATATATTAACATTCGATTTGAATATCAGCCAATCGTACTGTCGATTCACTAATCCAGACATGTTGTTCATTTGTTTTGAGAATAATGCATGAAACCTATACACAATATGCTTCACACATACCATAAGCGTAAAGAGTTCATAATTGACTGAATTATTCTAACCATTAGGCACATGTACATGTAAATAATCCACCATATACAGGACATCTACAAAACGTCCATCCACCACATACAGGACATCTACAACACGTCCATCTACCAGATACAGGACATCTACAACACATCAATCCATCAGATACAGGACATCTACAAGACATCCATCCAGAGGGTTACAGGACATCTACAACACGTCCATCCACCAGATACAGGACATCTACAACACATCTATCCATCAGATACAGGACATCTACAACACTTCCATCCACCAGATACAGGACATCTACAACCCGTCCATCCACCAGATACAGGGCATCTACAACACGTCCATCCACAATATACAGGACTTCTACAACACGTCCATCCACCACATACAGGATATCTACAACACTTCCATCCACCAGATACAGGACATCTACAACGTCCGTCCATCACATACAGGACATCTACAACACATCCATCCACCAGATACAGGACATCTACAACGTCCGTCCACCACATACAGGACATCTACAACACGTCCATCCACCACATACAGGACATCTACAACACATCTATCCACCAGATAGAGGACATCTACAACACATCTATCCACCAGATACAGGACATCTACAACACGTCCATCCACTAGATACAGGACATCTACAACACGTCCATCCACAAGATACAGGACATCTACAACACATCTATCCACCAGATACAGGACATCTACAACACGTCCATCCACAAGATACAGGACATCTACAACACATCAATCCACCAGATACAGGACATCTACAACACGTCCATCCACCAGATACAGGACTTCTACAACACGTCCATCCACTACACACAGGACATTTACAACACGTCCATCCGCCACATACAGGACATCTACAACACATCTATCCACAAGATACAGGACATCTACAACATGTCCATCAACAAGATACAGGACATCTACAACCCATCCATCCACCACATACAGGACATCTACAACACGTCCATCCACAAGATACAGGACATCTACAACGTCCGTCCACAAGATACAGGACATCTACAACACGTCCATCCACCACATACAGGACATCTACATCGTCCATCCACAAGATACAGGACATCTACAACGTCCGTCCACAAGATACAGGACATCTACAACACGTCCATCCACCACATACAGGACATCTACAACGTCCATCCACCACATACAGGACATCTACAACGTCCATCCACCAGATACAGGACATCTACAAAAGGTCCATCCACTACATACAGGACATCTACAACACGTCCATCCGCCACATACAGGACATCTACAACACATCTATCCACCAGATACAGGACATCTACAACACATCTATCCACCAGATACAGGACATCTACAACACGTCCATCCATCACATACAGGACATCTACAACACGTCCATCCGCCACATACAGGACATCTACAACACATCTATCCACCAGATACAGGACATCTACAACACATCTATCCACCAGATACAGGACATCTACAACACGTCCATCCATCACATACAGGACATCTACAACACGTCCATCCGCCACATACAGGACATCTACAACACATCTATCCACCAGATACAGGACATCTACAACACATCTATCCACCAGATACAGGACATCTACAACACGTCCATCCATCACATACAGGACATCTACAACACGTCCATCCACCACATACAGGACATCTACAACACGTCCATCCACAAGATACAGGACTTCTACAACACGTCCATCCACCACATACAGGACATCTACAACACGTCCATCCACAAGATACAGGACATCTACAACACGTCCATCCACCACATACCGGACATCTACAACATGTCCATCAACAAGATACAGGACATCTACAACACATCTATCCACCACATACAGGACATCTACAACACGTCCATCCATCAGATACCGGACATCTACAACACACCTATCCACCACATACAGGACATCTACAACACGTCCATCCACCAGATACAGGACATCTACAACACGTGAATCCACAAGATACAGGACATCTACAACGCGTCCATCCACAAGATACAGGATATCTACAACACGTCCATCCACCACATACAGGATATCAACAACACGTCCATCCACCACATACAGGCTGTAGATGTCTTATATGTGGTGGATGGACGTGTTGTAGTGGTGACCATCCGAGACCTGCATCATTCTAGGATTCCTTGCACCACGTGATATAATTAAAACACTGTTGAAAGTGATGTTTAACCAAACTTACTCACGAACTAAATATCACAAACCTGTATTAAATGCAACCTTTCTCACTATATATAGGACGAATTTTAAACAGATATATACTATTAAAAACTCCAACAGTGTATAAGTCAATGTGTTTTGTCTCTTTCAGTGTTGGCATATTTTTCAGGAGCAAACAACGCAGAGGTTTCATAGGAAATACAAACTTTTTTTTAGATCACGAATTCTACCTGTACCTAGTTTACAAATAAAATGGAATCATTTATACGGGGATATTAAAATTCCGGTTTAATAAATAATGGATATGAAGTGATACCTTCGTCATGATCAGTAGACGTTCCCATAAATGATTGTCGGTCTAGATGTGTTTCCGGATTATCGATCGAGGTTTGAGTGCATAAAAGCAAACGTAAGCGGATTAAAGCCGATCACCTCATCCCTGAATTCGTTCCGAAAACACCAGTCATCACTTCGGCTTTTTGCAAAGAGAGTCTGTATTTTGTCTAACATTACCCAAGCTCGTATAGGCCAATCACTATCCTTAGTTGCTTTGGAAAACTATTCACCAGAATTTTAAAAAACCGTTTAACTAAATTCCTAGATAAAAATAATATTATAACACCTGCTCAAGCAGGATTCAGGAAATATCAACTGCTGACAACATATTTGTAATTTATATGCTGATGCAAATTTTAAGAAATAATAAACAAAAATTATACTGCGCTTTCATAGACTTTACTAAAGCTTTTGACACTGTTTGGCGAGTGGGATTGTGGAGGAAAATGCAGACTATTGGCATCAAAGGTAGATTTCTTACGTTAGTTCAAAATATTTATAAAAATATTAAATCGTTGATACAGTGTGATGATAAAATGTCAGGTTACTTTCCTTGTAATATAGGTGTCAGACAGGGAGAAAACCTATCCCCTCTATTATTCTCAGTTTTCATAAATGACGTGGAAAACTTTTTGCTTTCATCTGGGTGTGGAGGAGTTAATCTCAACTATGATGAAGATAAAGACTTAATTGTATGGATCCGATTTATAATTCTATTGTATGTAGATGCTGCTGTATCATTTGATGAATCACCAGACGGTCTTGGACACTTTTAATGAATATTGTGAAGAGTGGAAATTACATGTAAAAATAAATAAAACAAAAATTGTAATTTTCGGTGGTGGCCCATCGAAAAATTCGAAACATAAATTTCACTATTCTGATAAAACTCTAGATATTGTCGACACTTATACGTATTTAGGAATTGTACTTCACAGGAATAGAAAACTAGTATCAAGTCTTAAGTCCCTCAGTGATAATCCCTCAAGAAATTTAAATTTACCTTTGGACTGTGTATTATCAGCTTTTGATACGATAGTATTACCAATATTAACTTATGGTTAAAAAATCTGGGGCTTTGAAAATTTAGAAATTATAGTAAGAATACACCTCAAATTCCTCAGACTCATCACAGGATTAAGAAATTCAACTCCTCGTTATATGATATATGGCGAATTAGGTAGGCTACCATTAAGAATAATAATTTGTAAACGAATGATATCTTTCTGGCACAAATTTACATATCAAACTGGTCTGTATAAACTTTCACAGCTGTTATATCAATATCTGTCAATTAATGGGAACAAAACTATTGCATCAACAAGTTCCTGGGTTAGATGTGTTATGGATATATTAGACAGTATTGGATTATCTTATGTATTTAACAATCCGTCAATTTGCACAACAAAGTGGCTAGTGTCAGAAGTAGAGCAAATACTTAAAGATCACTTTTTTCCAAAAATGGAGAAGTGACGTTAAGTCTAGTTCTAAAGGCTTATACTATAAACATTTAAAGGACACTCCGGTTCTCGATAAATATCTTCTATTGCCAATACGAATAGCAATTCCAATACTACGATTTCGAACCTGTAATCATAATTTACCTAATGAGACTGGCCGATGGAAAAATATTCCAAAGGAAAATAGAACTTGTAAATTATGTAATTCCCCATCTATTGCTGATGAATTTCACTACTTATTCAGATGTAATTATTTTAAAAGAGAGAGGCGAACATTTCTCTCATCATATTACACTGAATGGCCAAATATTATAAAATTTGTAAAACTCTTATCAACAACAACAAACACAGGATCTAAAAAAATTATCGAGATTTATTGTAAAAATGTCCATTAGTATTAAAAATGCTAGGTAACCACATGTTGTTATTAATTGCCATCTTGTCTGCTTTTTGAACATATGCATAACTATATATTGTAATGTGCTCTTGTACCACCTTTTGTGGTTTCTGAGAATAAACTGATTCTGGTCAGTGAAACACTACCTCAACTCGATAGACAGAAATGATGTGAGCTCAGACAGAGGAGTGACAATAGCATCCCACGTGACGTCATCAGACGATGACGAGCTAAATGTGTTGAAGAGAATGTCCTTGCATGCAGATACCGGGAGATGACACGTTTATGATAAACTATTTTATAGACACATTTGACGGTGTGTTTTTTAAATGATCCTCTCCGTGATGTGAACAAGATCTCGTATAGACATAAAATGAGATTCATACATATGCATGTATTTAATTAAAATGTTCTATATGTTCATTTGCGTCAATCAAGCATCATCAATATTGTTTTTCAGAGAAAAAAGCAAAAGCAATACGCCTTCTTTCGTGAAATAAGTAGGGTAAATCATACACTGTCCTCTTGACAGACTGAGCACATGACACTTAAGCCATTTGTATTACAGATATGTTGAAATACAGAAAACATGTTAATACATGGAAGACGATACGCGTGCTCCAGCAAGTGGGGAGTTGTAATATATCAATTGTGAAAAACGCGCACTTGTTATATGTGTATCATTGTCGTTAGGGATCAAAGTTAAAAAACAAACTTAAACAAACAAATGTAATTGTTTAAACTTGCGCATATATATTTTATACAAATCTTGAATACTACTGCGTAATATTTTAAATAACAAACGCACATATTCATACAAATCTGAGTAATATATTAGGCTATAATAAAACTATACATTAATACAATAATTTCGTAATAAGTCTCTATATGAAATTACAAGAATGCATATTGTACGAATCTCCATGCTTCGGTTTTAAGTACTTATAACGCATACAAGGAGAGAACTACAATGTAAGACATGAAATATATCCAAACAAATCACTAGCCCATCAAAGGTTTCATAAATATTTTAGTATTTCATATTACATCGAATAGCAATTAAATATTTACATACATGTATAGTGTAATTATTGCTTGAACATACAATTTTTAAAAAGATAATAAAATAATAAACCATAATGAAAAACAGTACACTAAAAACAACATGATTGTGTTTTCAATTCACCTTCAAGAACACATGAAATCTGTAAGACAATGTTGATATATAAAATCACTACTGTGGCTTTCAAATAAACAAATGAGCATGCGGACAATTCAGGTGATGATGTTCGCTCATGCAGGTGTGTTATGTTCATAAAAAAATTTAATTGATATATGTTCCACTTAACACTAAATAGACACTAAAGCCTGTCTCGCCCAACTCAAACTTTAACAGTGGTGTTGAATTTCAAAATTACTGAAGTTAATTTACCTTTCATACCATAGTTCTTGCTAAAGTTATATATGTCAAATGATATCATCAATAATGTTAGCCTGTGTATCCTACAAATAGACGAAAAGGTCTATTAATCGTTTTCAATCTAATGAAGGCTGGATAAACCATTAAAACTACGTTTTGAACAATAGATATGTTATACACTTGCATTTCTTCTAGTCTTTCCTCTGAATACACTTATGAACAACACATGAGTCTCGATGAAGAGGGTGAATAACATTTCCATGCCGATAATTGTGTATGGAGGCTTAAAATATATTTATCGTGAGAGTTTTAGTCGTTGACAACGTTATTAAATGTCTAAACGCCAGGAAGAAATGTCTTTGATGAAGATAGTTGCACATTTATCCATTCAGGGGTTTGTAAACATAAAAATAACCAACGCAAGCGAATAACCAGTCTCAAACGAAACGGATCCCATTCTACATAAAAGGTTAAAACGCTGTGAAACATATATAAATGGACAACTGAAACTTAATGATGACACCAGGTGTTCACGATCAGGGTAAGCGTGACCTGCTCTACCGATAGCACCCGCTCATCGAGCAATTTAGATATAAAAGACGTACTCCTGCCATGCGACGGCGGCAGGTAAACAAAACCACACAAAAAGGGAAGGACCAGAAATCCAACTACATCATAGCTTTTGATTATTTAGTTAAAACTAGAAACTGTACGTTAATTTTGAAATACGTATGCTGTGAACAAGTGCGAATATTTTCAGCTTACAGTTAAAGAAAAGACGTTTAAGAAATATGTTCGATTTGCAATACAATAGGGGGTGAGGGGCAAATATCATGCCTTGGCCCGATCAGGGTTTTTTTTTAGTCAAATCAGTCTAATTGATAAAGCTTATGGAGCAACTTGAGGACTTCAGTCATCAACGTCCACAAAATATAGTTCAATGTGATGGTATAAGAAACTAGGTGGGTCCAATGGAAGTCTAGGAAACTTCAGATGCACCTTCATGCAACATATGTCTTTGTAGAAGTATATTGTTCATCAGCCAAGTGATTCTCTACCACTGTAGGCTAATTCAAACGTTGGCTGTTATGGCTTTGGTGGGTTCAGGGTTGTTTTCAAAATGCTGAGCAGCATCAGGATGTGTAAAGGGAGGGACCGCTCCACCAGGTGCTGGGTAGACGGCTTGTCCTGGTGTTGGGTCATAGACTGGTCCTGGTCCGGGGGAGTAGGGTGGTGGAGGCTGTGCCATCCCTGCAGGTTGGGGGTAGTACGTACCTGGAGCAGGCTGAGATGGGTAGATGTATCCTGCATTATATGCAGCACGGGTGGGGTTTGTACCTGGATAAAGGATCAAGGATACATTTGAGTCTACTTATAGCGAGGCTAGTAAGGGTATTACTTCACATTGTCAACGACAATCAGTTATTCTGCATCAGCCTTATAGGCATATAGTAAAACAACAGAGCAGCCAAATTCGTAATGATAAGAAGCATGTCATATTTTAATACTACCCTCTGTACAAGTACAAGCCTGCTCGTTCGTATATATGAGAATATTGAAAAGCAAGCATAGCACCACATAGCAACATTAAGATATATTTTCTTTCAAGAACTATCGAGCAGTAAAATAGTAACATTGTCATACAAGTTTTAAATAAAATCATGTGGTGATTGGTAATGGTCCGCGGCGCCTGAATATCAATATCATAAATGGCAAAAGAATTGTATGAACTTGTATGATTAGGTGAATATTATCCATTTATTTAAGAGTTTCAGATTTAAGCAACGTATAGATTTAACACTAGTATTGAATGTCCTTACTCGACTGTGATTTTGAAAGTTATCTAAAAGCACCACATTCATAATAGCGAGTGAGTGAGGTGAGTTTTACGCACCAGTAGTATTTCGTTCTTGGCATGCAATCATATTGCAGGGGGACACACTGACCATGCTCCATGTTGTTACATGCCTATTTAATGAGTCTTAAATAACTTTTAACAAACGTCACTTTTTCAATGTCTTCATAACGGGAAGTTCGCCAACATCAGAGCCAGGGCAATGGTATGGAGTTGTTGATTGCAATATTGTAAACATGTCATCACAGGGAATAAAGCCACACTGCTGTTGGCAATGATTGATAGCTTGTGATGCCAATGATAGTTTTAAGAGACAATACTCCCCCGATATATGTACAACTACTATGAGTTGACCTTTTTAACCATCTTCCTCACATGTGTGGTCACTATATATAGTTCACGGTTTCTAGTATTTTTATTTCCGATAAAAGAGAATATGCCCATATTGTAAAAGGCAACTGCAATTCATGAACGATTCAATCCAGCGGTTATATTCCAATTCATGTCGCCAGACTAAATGATTGCTGTCAAAATAGGGACATTATACTTAACAAGAAATGTATTAATAGGCAGTGACAAGTCCGGTCGGGTTTGAACCAATGAGATTGCAGCACACACTTCCACTCGCATTTACTGTTTATGTAGAAACGTTGTATTGAGACTAACAACTGAATGATACGATTGGTGATTAAGTCTTTTCGATATTATAAACGTACATTTGGTTTCTTAAGATGACAAAAAAATATTTCCTTAAAGTTTGAGACATACTTCCCGTAATAAGAGAAAACCAAACAAACTTAATTGTGAAACAAGTTGACATTCTCAGAGACTTTAAGAAAGGAAATTTCAAAGAAAAAATGCATAAATGTCATCATAGCACACCCCACGTTGAGGAGCAACACCAACACACAAAGATTTGAACTGGTACTATCTTCCTGGTATTCCACTTGATTCATCAACGATAGTGATGTTGTTCCTTTTAAAAGTATAATTAAAGATTGAAGCTGTTACGTACCGTACGTATCTACTACTTATTGATGGCTTATACATATTGATGGGTTATACATATTGATGGATTATACATATTGATGGAGCATGTGTAGTACCTGTTGATACAACGGCAAGTTGTTGGTTGGTGGTCACGACGCGACCTCGATGACCTTGAGATGACCTACAGCAGCAGACACAGCACAAAACTACTCCTGCGATTATGGCGATCAAGATGAGTGAACAACCCACGGACACCCCGATAATCACGTTTGACACTGCATGCCTGGTGCGGGTGGAGATTGAGGTGGTGCTAGAAGAAACACGAATTAGTTCAACAGTTGGAATGCTAACTGGATCTATTACGCCCGGACCTGGGCCAGACAAACAAGTGATTGATAGTATGATAAACGGCAGAGAATAAACAGCTTCGAGTATATGTATCAGTAACAGATTCCATTGGCAGAAGCGGTGAAAATCATATGAATGGATCACTGAAAAATTAGTGATGACACTAGGTGTTCGCGGAAAAGGTAAGCATGTCCTGCCCTACCGTATCACCCGCCCCACACACAGCTTGTGTAAAAAGAGTGAGTGAGTGAGTGTGTTGGGTTTAACGCCGCTTTTAACAGTATTCCAGTTATATCACGGCGTGTCAGCTTAATGTTGGAGGAAAGCCCGAAGTGATGCAGGTCTTAGACGTTTACCACTTCGGTGAAACCCACGAGCACGGGTATGGTGCTGACAAACCTAGAAACATAATCGGGGCGAACCGGGATTCGAACCCACAATCATAGGTTTCTGGCGTGCCCAAGGGACGCAACTCTGCACAGCGAATCGCGGCGCCTTAGACGACTGGGCCAGCCGTGCCCCCTTTGTGTAAAAAGAAAATGTTTGTTTCTTGCCAAACCAGCAGCACTCAAAACACTTTCCTTAATCATACCACATCTCTGCTAAACTTCCCATGCCATCGAAGACACGTTGTCGCTGTATCTGACCCTCCGATCAAATGAAGTCGCTTTTGTGAAAGACAATATCGGCCCCCACGAGGGACAATTGCAAATAATTTGTTATCACTCTAATTTTGTGAAACTACCGGCAACTGCGTTTCGCTAGATAACAGGCTTAAAAATGTAACTGATTTTCACAGTTTCGTACATTGAATTCATTCCTGAAGTTTTTATGGTATGTCACCATAGTAACCAACGTAATCTGATTTGGTATGTGACTGCATTTTCACATTTATGCGGATAAAATAATGCGAGTAAATTGGGATAGGAATGATCATGACTTTGTCTGCTTGTTATGATCTTTAACGTCACAAGTGATGCATCTTTACAATCATACTTACCAACAATATCTGGAAGAAAACGACCCACAACATGAATCGTCACACGTCAGTGTCCTGGTACGTAAATTCCTATACTCGGTGCACACTTCAAAGGCATAGGCTGAAAAATTGAATGTTGAAATTTATATTCTGCTGACGTACATCTATGTCAGATGGACAAATTTAGTAAATACTTTTCGACAGGCATTATTTTATAGATTATTTGACATGAAATAAAATTAAAAAGTTATGAATTATCTACCCGTATTGATATAATTAAGATAAGATCCACTAACCACACATAAGCAATAAATAAGAGGAGATGGGAAAATATTTGACCCGAAGACAAATGCAAAACTTGTAATTGTGATTGTAATAAGAATGATTTATCAGACGAATATCAGTATTTACTACCCTGTCCATATTTTGATAATCTTTGTAGACATTTTCACCAAAATACTTTAGAAGGTCAAATCAAATATTATCGAACTTGATAAATGATCAAGTACCGATAATCCTTCTGAATTACGAAAACTCGTACATTTTGTAAACGCATTGTTAAACAGTTTTAATTAAACACTTAAATCATGAAGATACGTTGCAGTAAAGTGAATGTAAATTCTCATAAACTGCGCACAGTGCGTCTGTAATTCAACATTTATGCCTTCATTCATAAAAATGACATTGTTATTACCTTGAAGCGAAATATGCGTTTTGTATATGTTGTTGTTGAAAATGTATAATATATAATATGGGACGAGAAACTGAAAAAGATTGCCCGATTGAAACACTACACAATTTAATCTTTGAGACAGCTAATTAGACGCCTGCATGAGTGAGTGAGTTGAGTTTAACGCCGCTTTAAACAGTATTTCAATGACGCAGGCCAAAGACTAAGTAAGCTGCTGTCATACCAAGGATCACAAGCCGAAGGAATCTTAAATTCTAATCCATGACCAGCAGCTTCCATTTAAAATTGTTAATATCATTTCACAATACAAAACACTCCTTTAAATATGGATTTTGAGCTTTCATCGACTCTTCATGTTGGACTTCATACTGTTAAAAGTGAGCGAATATCAATTCCGCAATTAATTTCGGTGTAAACGTCCCACATCAGACTCAATCTACATTGATAAATGTTTCCAATATCCTAACGTTATGGGATCACATTATGACGGATGTGCGCTGCGCTAGTCTGAATTCAGTGTATTTAAGTTAGTCCGAAATAAGTGTTTTTCCTTACACTTTTTAACTAAGAAAAAGAAGGTCAGTGTGTATTTAATTCGCAAGGTGCAATTTTACATTACTGTGTCAAATTCTTACTTTACCAAAGAAACACTTAGGGAAACCCTGTACCGACTTTACAATTTTGCATTACAGTATAATATATTTTATTTAACTTTTTAAAGTATTAAACCACGTAAGGATAAAACGTTCAGATACAAGAAAACATCCTAATCTCCACATGTTTGGGTGCTTATTTGGCAGCAAATGGATACAAATGTGCGCATTTACGTATTTTCCTCATTTTTTAAAGTTGAGCAATATTCCCACTGAAGATGTTACATGGCCCTATGACGTCACGAAACGAGGTTACACAGCAGGGACGTCTTAGTGAAAATACGTTGCGGCCTTTTGACGTGAGCAACAAGCAGGAATTGATTCACGTGTTCTTTGATATATAATAGCCTTTGACTATTTGACCTTTATTCTACGATTCGTGCCTGCAACTGTTCACTTTGACGAGAGTATTTCATAAAATAAGTCGCAAAAGGACGCCTGATACACGACCGTTCGAGTTGCGCAGTAAACACAAATACACACCAGCAGACATACATGTACTTAACGGTGTCTAAATACCCTATGTGTAGATGTCATGTAGTTTACATTTATCAAAGATTTCTATCATCGCTTGAAATAAACTTAATCGTGACACTAAACAGGAATAAAACAAGATCCGCTGTCTTGACGCCCGCAAACACGTCACCATCAGATCATATCAAGTCTCTGTCTAAACGGGGGCACTGGTGTTCCAGGCGTCATGGCGCCGGAATTAACTATGCAGAGTTGTGTCCCTTAGGCTATGGGGAAACCTATGCTCTATGTGGTGGTGGTGTGGTGTCAATATTATTTGTGGGCACAGTTGTCAAGGGTAGTAGTCGTATAGCATGTATATACTCACAAACAGCAGTCAGAGTGAGAAGTATCCATCCACGTTTCAGAAAGTACATCGTGAACACACACCTCACTACACTTCACCAAACAGACAGCTGACGTCAACCTTTATTCCTTGTAGCCAAACGATTCCTGGCAGGACGAAGTCCTCGTTGGTATCTACGTGTTCTGTGGGTTCAGTAACACTGTAATATTAACTCTGCTGGTTACTCAGTATGTGAATTACTAACTAACTATGTGAGCGATATGACTTCTTGTCCCAGATGTCCAGTGACCAAGTGTATGATTAACAGTCTTTATACATCCTTGTCACCACGAGCGAGCTGTGTCATAGTACGGCGGTAGAGTGCAGGATAAACGGATATGTACGGGAAATGACGGCTTGCATGACCAGGATGAATAGTCTGCCTATTGCCTTGTGTTGCGCATAAATTGTACTCATGCGTAGTCATTCAATCGTGACAACACAAATACGTTACATTTAGTGGTAATACATTTATTAGCTTTAGGTTGATAACTATAATACACCATATAATAACCATAATGAATTAATTATTACATTTTAATCACTGCCCGCCTCACATCACCAGGACCCACAGCCAATAAACGCCCACGCTTCATGTGTTGCTTCTTTCGTTCCTTGATGAAATCCACCATGGACTCCTGTCAAACATGCATGCATGCAATTACACCCGTCGACAGTTAATGTACACAAATGCCTAGAACAAAACTTTAAAACATATATTTATTAACTATATAAAGCCTCCTGTCTCAATTTATATTGGAAATTTATTTAAGAAAAGATAATGATAAATTTATTGTGGCCTGAATTTGGTTACTTAAATCGATGGAGGTGGTGAATATATTGTAATTTTGATTCTCTAAACAAGGAAAGTTATAATGACAAATAGAATACAGTAATGGTATAAGGTGTGGTTGAGGAGGGTATTATCCCGCTTTTAGATTCACAAATTGCACCCATGTTCGGATTGAACTCGGGTATTTGGCGTGACGAGCCAACTCTTTAACCACTGGACTCACGAACAAGCTCTTATAACGGGGAGGTAACGGAAAGTAGGTTATTTACGAGTAAACATATCATTTTTTCACTTGTGATTGATTCATCTGTAGTCTCATTGGAAATATCGTTGTCAAATACAGATGAGAACGGTCCTGTCTTGAAGCAGCAGTAGCAGCTGTAATGGTAACAACCTGGCTGGGTGTTAACAAAACGATGTCGTATTGGTCAGTGACGGGAACATTGTATTAAATTCAGGACCGCCTCCGTGGTCTAGTGGTAGAGCGTCCGCCCGCAGAGCGGAAGGTCCGGGGTTCGATACCCGGCCGTGTCATACCAAAAGACGATAAAAGATGGTACTTGATGTTACCCTGTCTGGCGCTCGGCATTAAGGGGCTAAAACAAGGACTGGTCGGCTCGGAGTCAGTATACTGTGTCTGAGTGGGGTATTCATGTTAAACTGCGGCATGGTATCTCAGTGAGCACTATAAATCGGCATCAGTCCGACTAGTACAAGCAGAAACACACACGTCCATGCACGTTGCTATGTAAGTGGAATAATCTTGGACGCGACGTTTCACCTCACCTATTAATCTCAGCCTCCCATGGGGGCTAAAGTCAATTCTATTAATCACTATTTTTTGCCTGGAAGGATTTAGGTCTGGATCTATACACACTTTTATTTAGTGTGTGTACCTTCATGTTTACACTGACAGCCTGTATCGCGGAATTTAATAGTTCCTCAAAAAGAGAGGTGACATGAGTGTATGCTAGCTCAACTTCCCCTACATGAACATCTGTTGCCTTTTGTTTCAAATACTGTCATCATTGGAGGAGAAAGGTCTGTTGAGATGTACATCAAGTACAAGACGTCCAAATGGCTGACGCGATAAACGTGAAGGGAGATATTTCCGAAGTTGTTAATGAACCTGTGGCGGTTACATGTATTAGTCATCATTGATCAACTGGCCGATCATTGAAAAGGGATTATAAAAATGTGTCAAATAGACACCAAAGTAAATTCGTAGATTGCTGTAGACTGTCACTGTCAGTCTAGACACGGAAGGTTTGGATGTGCATCTGTCGTTTTGTTCTCTAGGATCGGTCGTAGCGAGGATATTGGTGAACGATCACGCAGTCAGATTCTCTGACGTTTCTCAATGTATGACTAAACGCCAAGTTCAAGATTAAAGGGTCTAAATAATGAGAAAACAACGCTTCTCTATGTAAACGTGCAAGGGAATTCCCAAGGGTTCCCCCAAGAATGCGTTATTAGTCCGTCAGTGTATGTCATTTCAAGAAATCGGTCTCGTGAAAAGCGTATGAACATGAGTCAAATTGTGTCGTTCATACACTTTTGAACGTCAATTTTGTGATCAAGTGACCGACCTCTCGTCCAATGGAAAAGTTGTATATCGTAAAAATTTAACATAAAAAAAATACTGCACAATAAACAACTCCCACTCGTCGTTGGTTTTTCATATGAGATAACAACATAATGTACAGCCTCTTCAAGGATGCTAATAAAATGTACAAATTTTAAACATGCTCACTCGTTTTTAATTAATGACGACTCCCAGAAAACAATCCGACCTCGGCAATGTCGGACAAATCCATTTTATGAACAGGAGGTTAAGTTAGGTATTTACGGGATATTCTCATAATATTCACGTCGATCATCTGTATTGTTTCTCTCAAATAACGATTGTCAGATCTCTCCCACTTTTGAATGCTATCGTTCGGCCATTGCTTTTATCTGCGTTGCCTAAATACATCTATGAGGAATAACTCAATAGACACTTTCCTCTTAAAAATAGCGTCGTCCAATTTACGTCATCAAGTCGCAAACGCATATTTAAATCTCAAGAAATGATAGAATGATGTTTTATCGTGACATAAACCACAGCTCGTTCTCCACTGTTCCTTGCGTAGCTAGTTTATATTCACAAATAAACTTCTCTTTTATTCATTTTCGTCTTACATACGATAACGAAGACACCGATGTATTTTTCAAAACATTCATTTAATCAAAAGTATAATACAAATTACAATCAATGGAGACAAATGAGGTAATACAAATGACAAATGATACAGGCCAAGCGAAACAATACATGCGAGGATGCAGTTACTATTGTTATGCAAACAGGAACTGAGACTGAAATTCGTGGTTCTACATCCGGTAATTCAGAACAATACTAATGCAAGATGCACAATATAGCATGTCGTTCATAATATGGCATTAAAAACAAATTCAGCCTCAACCATGAAAATTAAGATTACCTACTTAAGGACTTTATATTACTTAGAGGAAATATTAAATGCTAATAAGTTAGATGCATTTCGTTTGAAAACTAATTCTACTTCCAATGACATTTGTATTAAGCCCCAACACACGTTGTTTAATTTAATCTCATATTAACGCTACTCTACATAAGATAATAAAGACACCTATATGTTTCAATGTATTCATTTTTATCATTTGTAATATTCCAATAAAAATGAGTGGAGACAAATCATACAGACAAAACGAAACAAATGAGTGGAGACAAATCATACAGACAAAACGAGACAATACATGATATGATGCAGTTACTATTTTAATTCAAACAAGAAACGGACTGACTGAGTATGGTTTTACGCCGCTTTTAGCAATATTCCAGCAATATCACGGCGAGGGACACCAGAAATGGGCTTCACACATTGTACCCATGTCGGGAATCGAACCCGGGTCTTCGGCGTGACGAGCGAACGCTTAAACCACTAGGCTACCCGACCGCCCCAACAAGAAACGGAAGTGAAAGTCGTGGTTTAACATCTATTTTAGTACCCCTGGTTGTTCTAGTTACCACTATTGTGTTTCAGTAAGTCCTCACATGCCTCAATCTACCATAGTGTCTGTGTCTGTTCATTTAAATATATATTATCCATACAAGTTTACGTTGTCGGGAGATCAGTGTTTTGGTGTTGTAAGTTCGTATATAGACAAATTAAAGTGACAATCAGTCTACTTCATTTGGTTCTTTAGCTTGGGTACATTGCAAAAGAACACATAACATGTGACATGTGCTAACCTTTTGGATAATTGATTGTTGTTTCAGCAAATCCTCCAACTCAGTGTACTGTGTATATGACCTAATATTCAAATGACAACCAACAGTGCTGTCGCAGAAAAAAAACAGGGAACAGAGAAGGTCGATTTACTTTGAGTGTGCCTAAGTCAAGAAAGTGAGACAAAGAATAGCCAAGTAATAATAGCTCAAGATTGCATTCGGGGGCACGGGTGGCCCAGTCGTCTAAGGCGCCGCGATTCGCTTGGTCACGCCAGAAACCTATGATTGTGGGTTCGAATCCCGGATCGCCCCGATTATGTTTCTAGGTTTGTCAGCACCATACCCGTGCTCGTGGGTTTCACCGAAGTGGTAAACGTCTGAGACCTGCATCACTTCGGGCTTTCCTCCCACATTTAGCTGACATGCCGCGATATAACTGGAATACTGTTAAAAGCGGCGTTAAACCCAACTCACTCACTCACTCAAGATTGCATTCCAATGACATTAGCGCAATGAAACACATAAATATACAAAACAAATATTACATAGCATGCATTGTCAACTGTATAAACAAATATATTACATGTGACACATCCACCGCTGAAGGTCGAGTTCTATTCCACGTCACACAGGAAGTTCATATACGTACAGTGTTTGTGTGGTACTCCCGTGAGGTCATATCAAGGACATCCAAGCCATATGGTTTGCAAGAGTTTCAAGATGTAATATTTCTTGTTCTTGTGGCCAACCCGTCTGTAACTCTCGATCAAATCATCTATGTAGTGGACTAGCTCGAGCTTATGTCTGTTTCCTTTTACACTACATAAGTTTATTACTGAGTCTACACTTTGAAAAATAGCATTATCGATATGTTCAATTTCTACATGAATCAGATCTTTTCCTTTAAGTTTGCCTATGTGCATCAGATGGTTTTAGGAAAGACATTATTCTTTTCCATGAGGGTATTTATAATATTGTGAAACCTGTTTTGAGAACTTCAATTAAGACTGGGGTTACTGAGAAGTGCAACCTTAATAGACATTAAGATAGTATTTCATTGCCAATGATGGTTTAATGTTCGTTTTGTCAACCGTGACGTCTTTTTAACAACAATGGTGAACATGTTCATTTTGGAGATCCAAATAAATTACCTCCCATGACTATCACATGTTAGACATTTTCCCCGAGAACCTTTCTTTAGAAACGCTGTAAATAACTACTTTTCCATGTGGATTCATTCAGGTTAATACAGAACCGTTTTCAATGGCACAGTAAACACAGTCTTCATGTTCATGTCAAATATAAGCATTTCACGTTGTAATTATAACGTACTATTCATGTAATATTTGACTAATCGGATGTCTACTTATGTCCACTGGTTGGGGCATCAACTGGTCCTGTTTGTGCCACTCCTGCTGGTTGAGGGGAGGTACCTTGTGTTGGAGTGACCTTTAGTTCATCATTTGCAGTAGTAGGCATGTTTGTACCTGGATAGAAAAAGACTGTTCATGTAATGTTGCTTGAACGTCACAGGCTTAATGTACGAAGTGTTCGGCAAGCCAATGACATTACGAATGTCTATTCGATTACTGTGCAGAGGTCGCTGTCAAACATTTTGCTTGTACCATTTTAATGTGCATAATTTGCTTATAAAAACTATAAATATATTACTAACATTATCTGCACAATCAAATTTTCGGGATCACCCTGTCGTCTGCTGGTTCATACATTACTATTAATCAAAGTCTCTCAGATCCTAATACGGCAAAGGGAAGTAATTCTACTGTGACATCTGTGAATTTGTAATGATAGGAAGTGAAACGAATGCGAGCCTCTTCACTGGTTGGATTTAAAGAACAAATTGAAACCGAACCCCTCGGCCCGATGTATAAATTGTTATCTTTATAAATAGCCTGAAACGTTCAGAGTGTACCTTTATGAGGTGGAGTTTGATCTGCTTCATCGTTTACAACAATGGTTGGTTTTGTATCTGGATCTACAATGAAACAAAGAATGTTATTCTCATTTTAACCTGGAGACAATCAGTGTGAATGTTGTTTGAGTAGCTTTACGATCACAGACAGTTTGCTTCGACAATAGATTTGGAAATAGATGGAATTGCCAACTTGCGTGGAAGGAATTTAAAGTGGCTCACCATACTCCTTGGTAACCGGTGAATATACCCCTTGGTGACCCGTGAGTATACCCCTTGGTGACCGGTGAATATACTCCTTGGTAACCGGTGAATATACCCCTTGGTGACCGGTGAGTATACCCCTTGGTGACCGGTGAATGGCCTTAACAATGCAGGTTCATGGTTTACAGAAGCTGCTGACATCAAGGGCGTGGAATAGTTGCATACTGGAGGTATTGTCGTATAAAGCAGTTGGTTACAACTTGGTAGAATACCTTTGGCCTTTTTTATGTTGTAGAACATATGTAGAGAATCTCACCCATGTGCCTTTTGATATCAAATATATCTACACAAGACGATAAAACTCTCGGAGTCTTAAACCTTCATCGACGAGTGTTGATATATATGATATCAAAAGATCCAAGGGTGAGATTCTAGGTATCATCCAACATCATTCCTCCAACTTTATCAGTTTGCAGACAGTAATAAGCACTCTCTTAAGTGTAAATAGTACTGCTAACAGCTTCAGTAGGAGAGCCATTAGTGATGTCATTTGATTGTGACGTCATGTAACCATGACGTAACAATGGTCTGCAAAGAACACGTCCCATTTTAATTCTGGAAACCCAAAAGTCCAGAAACTCTACGCTCTTTGCCCAGTCTCGGTTAAAGGTATTTACAAAATTAAACATGCCGTTTTCATGGGAACATACCACGGAAGAAAAAATGAAAAAAAAATTGTTTAAAAACTCAATATTTAGACTATGTCGCCCATGGGCCTGCCCATGGGCCTGCCCATGGGCGAAGTGTGGCCCATGGGTAGGCCCATGGGCAGGCCCATGGGCGAGAATATGTTCCTTTACTTAAAACTCATGTTTTTGATTCGCAAATACATTTAATGTATTCATTCAAGTATCATGACACAATATTTAACTCATTTTAACTTAATTCAACGATTTTATAGCGATATTGAAATATTTCGCCCATGGGCGAGAAAAAGGTTTGGCCCATGGGCGAGAATATGTTCCTTTACTTAAAACTCATGATTTTGTTTCGCAAATACATTAAATGTATTTATTGAAGTATCATGACACAAAATTTAACTCATTTTAACTTAATTCAACGATTTTATAGCGATATTGAAATATTTCGCCCATGGGCGAGAAAAAGGTTTGGCCCATGGGTAGGCCCATGGGCAGGCCCATGGGCGAGAATATGTTCCTTTACTTAAAACTCATGTTTCTTTTTCGCAAATACATTTAATGTATTCATTTAAGTATCATGACACAAAATTTAACTCATTTTAACTTAATTCAACGATTTTATAGCGATATTGAAATATTTCGCCCATGGGCGAGAAAAAGGTTTGGCCCATGGGCGAGAATATGTTCCTTTACTTAAAACTCATGTTTTTGTTTCGCAAATACATTTAATGTATTCATTTAAGTATCATGACACAAAATTTAACTCATTTTAACTTAATTCAACGATTTTATAGCGATATTGAAATATTTCGCCCATGGGCGAGAAAAAGGTTTGGCCCATGGGCAGGCCCATGGGCAGGCCCATGGGCGAGAATATGTTCCTTTACTTAAAACTCATGGTTTTTTTTCGCAAATACATTAAATGTATTTATTTAAGTATCATGACACAAAATTTAACTCATTTTAACTTAATTCAACGATTTTATAGCGATATTGAAATATTTCGCCCATGGGCGAGAATATTTTCCTTTACTTTAAACTTATGTTTTTGTTTCGCAAATACATGCAGGTGTCCCTTATTATTTTCATGGCACATAATGTAACACAATTTTACTCAATTCAGCTATTTTACAGATTTATTGAAATATTTCGCCCATGGGCGAGAAAAGGTTTTGCCTTCGAAATCCTTGATTATTATATCATGCCGAGGTTCTGAAATTCAGTGACAATGCTGTTGAACAGTAGAATCTGATTGACGTATTGTGCAGAACCTGTTTGACACTATGGGTTCCAGGACCACTAACACTCTGAGCTGAAAAAGTTTGGTCCTAACCGCACCCAACATCTTTAATGAACCCGGCCTTATCTCTCAAAACGTTTTGGCAGTTTATCATACGAATTCATGTGCGTGTACAACATTAAATTTTAGTTAGTTTCTATTTCATTTCCCATTTTATGACCCGTTGATACATCCCACTGTGCAATTACGTGACAGGTACGCGTGCGCGTATTTTAATGGAAAGAAACTATTTGTCTTTTATTGCATAACGTTTGGCTGAATATCTTACATTCTAACGAAATCTCGAAATAATTATTTAATTACAAGCAGTGTCCAACTGACCAGTAGGAATTATGTTTCAATGCGATTGAGGAAAACGTGAGTGAATATTGTGACACTAAAGCAACTTTTAACTGCATTGTCACTTTTGGTATGAAAATGGTAATAGTTAAGAAAAACGTAACAGCCTTCTTATGATAATTCTCATATTCTCATTAGTACGTTGTGTCTAATTACAGTGTCGGCCTTATTTACAGGTGATTCTACAATACTTGTTGTCGGTCAATTACAATCTGCCACACCACGCGTGAATAAACAGTTATGCAGGTGTTGCTGTGGGCAAATACCTAGCCTGTACATGTATATTTTTGTGGATACATGTATTACATATTTTCGTTGATATGTGGATATATTAAGCACCAAGACACAAAAAGTTTATGAAAGATGAATTTGTGCCTTGATATATATATTCAACGCGAACGAAGCTTGTATTTTCTCCGCGATCCTGATGTGTATCATCGTTTAATTGGTCATTCATTAAAAGTATGTTGTGAGGCGATATCAAAGGAGCCGCTCAATATACACAGTGTCGTCCGTTTCGCGTGAACTACCACCCTACCCTGTCAGTAAGAGTTATGTAATCGGTACACAAATATATTTGGTGCGATGTCAGTGTGGAAGGAGTTTGAATTACGTCCGCCAGTGGCCACAGAAAGTATAGTACCAATCAACAAGGCCAATGCCGTACTAATAACCTAGTGACTCGCGTAACAACGGCTGTCAATATGTCTGCTACATCTACCATACCATCATCCCTGTCACAACTGGCGTATTAACGGCTTATTCAAAATATTAATTGTAGAAATGTCGTTACCAGACTAACGTACGTCGTATTCAGTCCTCAGCTGGATGTTACATTCCTTATATCAGTTAACAGCCCTGTTTGTGAAAATATTTACTAGACATAAGATTTAAAGACTAATAAAATCAATTGTAAGACCGCATAGACCATAAAACCGAATAAAATATGTCTTGGTATCATCTGTTGTGTATTAGATGATGGCAATGACCGGAAATGTTATAACGTTAGATTAAGAAGGAGAAACATTAAAGTGTTTTACAATACTTGGAAACATGAGCAATAAGATGTAGCAACATAAACATGCATGGAATAGGGGAAAAGGATGAAAACAAATTGAAAAGGATTTTAATACAAAATTATCGAACTAAATAACTTGCCTGAACAGAAAGGGTACCCAAACTTGTTTGACAGTTATTCGTGTGTTGTAGACTGTCGAATGGGACTCATGTGTGTACGTAGGGTACGCATATCTATTGCAAGTTTTAGTACTCATACACTTTCTCTTTTTGTGTTTTGTTTGTTTGTTAGTTGTATAACGCCACACTTAGCATATTTCAGCTGTATGACGGCGGTCTGTAAATAATCGAGTCTGGACCAGACAATCCAGTGATTGACATCATGTGCATCGATCCACGCAATTGGGATACGATGACATGCATCAACCAAGTCAGCGAGCCTGACCACCCGATCCCGGTAGTCGCTTCTTACGACAAGCGCTGTCGTCCTTTTACGCCAAGAATGGTTTGTTGAAGATCTTCACGGGTCTATTGAATGCAGGGATTTGTGTAAAGTCATTCAGACAGCATACAATGCCAACTAAAAAATTATACTCAGTGTCTCCGCAAAGTAATATAGTACGGTACTTAGAGTACATGTGAGATTATACTCAGATTAGGGAGATGTTTTATCCATATAACGTGTTATTATTCTACCTAACAATGTATTTAATGAAATGAATGCAAAACAAACTCAACGGCTAAAAGGTTTCATTGAAAAAACTACCCCTAGTCTTGACTAATAAAACAACTGCAACCCGACACAGATTAAACGCAACTTACAAACACAATCATAATCTGGTTAGTCTGTATCACTCAACGAGGCCGCTTACTTTGCCCACGGTATGAAAGTATTGGGCAGTTCAGTAATTAGGAGCCAAAACCAGGCAGGTACGCTGGTCACACTTGACTGGTCTGACTGATGATTAGGTCGTCTGACAATTGTGAGTGAACCATAGCAAGAAGTATCTGCGAAACTATTTGCTCCTTTTATGGGACCGATTAGTTTTATGACCATGGGCCTCGGCACAAGCGTGGTGTTGGAAGACAAGTTATACATGTACATCCGATATGGTGACTGTTTTTCGCTATTCATATTCTAAATACATTCATAATACCACATCATTTTAGTACTCCTTGAAACTTTACAATCACTTCAATATGTACAATAGATTGAACGAGAACACTTGATATATTGCAGATTATTAAATCATTGTCTCTATTATCAGCCGCTACATTTGTATCGTTTGCATTGTACAAAGAAATATTTTATCTGTCCTTTTGCAGATTTAGCCTCAGAATGTGCTCATTCGAATTAGGAACGAAAATAATTGCTTATCATGAGTATATATGATACAGTTAAAAGTTACTTGTACACTGTAGACGTATTCACTTTAAAGTCGCATACGACCTTCCCGAGCGAGTTGAATGATCCAGGTTAATTGGAACGAAGTCCAGAGAGT